TTATTTCTGGTCCAAACAAGGCAATAAATCTAGTGGGGTGAAGGGGGAACCTCTTGATCTGATCCCTTGATCTTTTTTATCTGCCTCACACCCACCCTCCCCAGACCCTGCCATCTCCAGACTCAGTGCTCTTCCCAAATTGCCTGGTGATTTGATAAGCTACCTTCTAATTTAAACAAACTAGGAACTTCAGGCCAGCTGGTGGCTCATCACACCCACCAAGGCCCAGTGTACTTATATCACCGTGTCATATCAGAACACGTGAAATCCTGTACTCATTTTATATCAAAAGACTCTGTTGTATGTTCACTTGGATCTTAGCACTGCATAGCCAGGGAGAAGGCAGTGGTTTTCACTGTATGAAAAGTCAAGAAGAGAAACAATTGTGGCTTTCTGGCTTCTGTGCTAGGAGCCTCAGCTCAGAATGGCAGGGTTCATTCAACTCTTAGTCAAGGTGCTTGGGATTCCTCCAGAAAGAGTCAATGCTTCCCAGGGATGATGGGAATTTGGGGGCAGGGGTGGCCACATGGTGTAACAGCCTGGGCCACCTGGGACAAAGCAAAGTAGGGAACAACCATAGCAGCTTCACTGTTTGCCTAAGGCTCAAGACCTTTCTAGGATTTAATGCACATAAATGAATGTTAGTTCTGCTGGCATTTTCAGAAAGACCAGGTGAGAAGTCAGTAACTTGGAGACTAGAAACATGTCTAGTTTCTAGAGCTAGAAAGCTGGAAAGTTTCAAGTAGCAGCAGCCCAGGAAGAGTGTTATTTTATGTGGAATTTCTTGCTTCTTAGGCATGGTATTTGGTGAGTCTTAGCAATATGTACTGGGTATAATACCTCCTACCAGGAGTCCAATCCCATCTCTAGAAGTCCTTCAGATGAAAATAAAGAAGTTGGTCTGTAACTCAAAGCTCATCATGGGAACTTCATTGAGGAATCTGAATTATTCGGGTGTAATCAGAATTTATGAAACCTAATACCTTATATCTCAGAAATCATATTTCTCCTTTGCAGGACTTACAGATGTAAACAACTGTATAAATAGAGCTGTTACCCATCAAAGTTGTCTTATATGTTCTTGTATGTGAGATCTCTCTCCTCTCTAGTCCCAACTCTAGACAACTCTAAATGTCTGCAGTTTCAAAAGAAGTATTCTGCATCATATCAATCATACTTAAATCCATTTCCTTTACAAAAATTCAAACAATATAGAAAAATTAAAATGTTTCTGACTGCCACTCAATCCCACCTCTCCATGGGCTGTCTATGTATACTTTCAGAACTTTTCGATTCATGTACATAATTTTATATTTTGTTTTCAGCATTCTTGGTATCATACTCTAATTTGTTCTGCAGTTTGTCCTGAGGGAGGGGGGTCGTTCCGTGTGGGCATATTGTTATAACTGCTCAGGTTATGCCATAATGTATTAGTCATTCCTATAATGATTAATATTTATATTATTTCCGCTTTTCTCCTATTACATAGTTGACTGTCATTAACTTCCCAGTATATAATTTTTTGTGAAGTTGAGTATTTCTACACAGGAGATAGCAAAGAGTAGATGTGACATATTGAAGGATAAATTTATTTTACATATTAAATAGAAGATACTACCAGTTGTCTTCCAACACCGCCATTAGCAATGATAATACAATTCTATTGATATTAGTACATCAGCCCTTTCTCTAGGGGAAGGCATTGGTTCAAAGAAGCATCTGCTAGTAAAATGCAAATGATAAGAAACCAGTTTCGAGTCCTTAGAGCCTGAAAATGAGTACGTGGCTTTAGGGATAGTTTTGCTGGAAGAAAGCAGGTCTGTGAGTCTAGGAAGCCAGTGAGCAGCTTGAGGACTTAAGGCTCCAGGAGGTGGGAGTGGTGTCATCAAAAAGATGATACCGGAGTTACAGAGTACCCAGTCACTGGGGAATGGCTGAGGCTGCTGGAAGACTAGTAGCCAGTAGTCACCCCCACTTCAGAGTTAGGGTATGGGCAGGGGCTGCTTTGTGCACCCTTACCCATCACCCCTCCAGCTCTTCCCTTTCTCAACCTACTCCTTTTTCTCAAGAGCCTAACTTTGTGCAGAAGCCCTCAAACTTATTTTATGACTCTCCTTAGGCAGTGAGTCAGCCTCTAGGGGAGCTGATGGCAGGATAGGGATCTCAGCCTAAGCCAGCTATCAGCCAAATTCTTCTCTTATAGATAATAATCATTTCGCAGACCAGATAGGCAAAACAGAACATTCACAAAACCACTTACCCCTCTTCCTGTTCCCAGCAGGCATCCATTCAACAAGTAACTGTAATGAAAAGCGTCTGAGGACATCCTGAAGCAATTTACAAACTCAGAATCCAAGACAGACATTTTCGTTCTCAAGAAGTGTGCCTGGAGACACATCGTTTTTTGAGGCAGAAGTCTGGTGTGTCTCCCTTTGCCTGGCAAAGCAATAAAACTATCCTTTTCTTTAAAAGAAGCAGCAGCAGCTTTCTTACCTGGTACTGAAAAAAGGGAAGGGGGATAATTATTTCACTATCCAGCTCTAATGTTTAATTCATTTAACATTTAAACTTTCCAAAGAGAGGCTTATTTAAGACTCTTTTTTAAAAGTTGGATATTTGAGAAATTGTAGCAAATTGCTTTGGTTGAGTTTGAAAATTTCAACCAATTCAGTATCATCCTTTTTTTCTTTTCTTGGCTGAGCATCAGAACCACCTGTGGTCCTTTTCAAAATCCCAATACTCAGGTCCATATTAGTTATATCAGCATACCTAGGAGTCTGTGCAACTACTGATCCAGTGGATAAGAGAAAAAAATCTTTTTTTAAAAAAACATAATCTCTAGGAAGTCAAGACAATAACACAGTTAAAAAATTTCACACACTTTTAAGTCTTTTCCCTGTGACCAAAGCTTGCCAGGATGCAACAGACCTACTGAACAATAATTGACAAAATAAGATATGAAACTGACAAAATTTGCCAAATTGAGACTTTAAGGTATGTTTTATATAACAAAATTATTGAGTGCAAAAAGAACATGTTTTCCTGATATTTATTAAATTTTCTGGACCTTTTTCTTTATATTTATTACATTTTCTTGATATTTGCTACATTTACATGTGATGCAAAGATAGCAGAGGCCTGCTTTATGAACCTAAGAAGGTGTTTTTAATGAAAATTGGACAGACTTCTTGGTAAGCAACAAAGAACACTTCAGAGGACCTTATTAAGGATTTATGTATAAATCATGGTTATTTTTAAATGTTGGGGGTGGAGAGAAGCAATCAGAAAGAGTCTGTTTGCACTACATTTTGTCCTGCCATTCATGCATTAGATATTAATATTACTGAATGTGCATACTTCTACATCATCACTTTAAGAATTCTGGAGAATGCTCCCAAATGTCAGCCTCCCTGCCCCCATCCCTAGCTGGAATGGGTGGGATGCCTGTCCCACCCAGATCAAAGAGCAACCTGTTGCTCACTGCAAAGCCTCTTGCCAAGTGAGTCAGCGCTAGTGTGCATGCAAGAGTGCATGCAACCCAGAGCTGCTTTCTCCTCGGTGGGTGGGGAGTAGAGGGTTTGGGAGCCTGCAGCCGCATGGGGTAGGGGCTGTTTGTTCTTTTCTCTCTGGGGAAGCAACTCATTCAGACCTCCGCCTATGACTGAGCTGCTTCCAAGAGCTCTGAGCCGGTCTCAGTGAAATTGGCTTTTCCATCACGTTTAGATGGACCACAGGGGTGTTTTGCTGCAAGTTTTCAGCTTTGCTTGCTTGTTTGCTGGGTTTTTTAAGGGCAACTATTGATGCTGTTGGTGTCTGCCCACTTTGGAAGTCTTTAGCCTGGACAGTGGCTGTGTCTCTTTCCTCCTGCTGGCCCGTCCCCCTCTCTGGACTGAGGTTACCTGCTAAAACAATGGGATGTGCTTTGACTCTTCCTGATATAAAAGGAATAGAATTACCTAACTGTTCTAGGGCAGTCCTTTGGGGAAACTAATCTTAGGCTTCTGTCCAGCTTAAGTTTTGTTTTTTTATTAAATATTTATTTCTCTGTTATTTATTTGGCTGCGCTGGGTCTCAATTGGGGCACATGGAATCTTTGATCTTCATTACGATGTGCGGGATCTTTAGCTACAGCATTGAGACTCTTAGTTGCATCACGTGGGATCTAGTTCCCTGATCAGGAATTGAACCTGTGCCCCCTGCATTGGGAGCTCTGAGTCTTAGCCACTGGACCACCATGGAAGCACCTGAAGCTGTGTTTTGACAACACATCTTGGTCAGCGGTGCCAAGTCTTTACAAAAGGCGAGCTGGTGACTGAAATGGGGTGTGTGCTTTCTGCTTATATTTTCCCATTTACCTTCCTTGCCTCTTCTCATGGGTTCTTAGCATAATCTAGGTTATCACTACTCTTGTGAGCACTCCCTGTGCGCGTCTTTTTTTTCTCACTGCCACAATAGTAGCACAATCTGATCTTTCAAAATATACTTAAGTGTAGAAAAAGGGAGAACAAGTTTAAGTAAGTTCATCTCTCAGAAAACCTAGTGTTTTTTGCCTTGTGACTTCCAAGTGTAGAATTCCACCCTAAGACTGAGCCGTGTTTTGAATGTGACACAGAGCCTGCCTGAAACTTGACTTGGCCTATTTGTGTGCTTCTGCTGTTGTTACTGCTGTCCTAAGTGGAGGGAAACATTCCAGAGTTTTCATGTATTTGGAAGGTACGGTTGAGCCTTGTTTAAAAAAAAAAATAATCCCTGAAGGAACCCTAAAGTAACTGATAGTGGTGTCTAGTTTATATTTATTTATGTCTTCATATGTTTCTTTACCTAAGAACTGAACCCTCTGGGTTAAAAAGAACATGTCATAGGAAAGAAGTCTTACAAGCATCTAAACAGCCTCATGACTCACCTTACCCCATGTCACCTCCTATTATCCTTGACAGGCTTAGCATGTTTTCTGTTTGAACCTGCCTGTTATTTGCCTTACTCTTTCCATTGTCTTACAGGACTAGCAGCCAGACTCCCAGAAATCATGTTGGTAGGATCCCAGTCCTTCTCGCCTGGAGGGCCCAATGGGATCATCAGGAGCCAGTCCTTTGCGGGGTTCAGTGGCCTTCAGGAGCGGCGATCCAGGCAAGTCACGTGTGGTTCTCCGCTGGGACACAGCTTGAGATGAGAGGGGTGCGAACCCTGCTGCTCTGAACGAGGTCCACGTCCGTGTGGCCTGGTCAAAACACACACCTGTGCTGTTTTAATCTCTTTCATGAAAAAGATGTAATGTTCCCCAAATTTCTATCATTTAAGAATTGCTCCTGCAAAGAAGATGGCTGAAGATTTAGGACAAGCTAGCAATATGTGTGCGTAGCTCCACCCCCACTCCATGTTTTTCAGATCTTTTGATACCTGTTGCTAAAGTGCCTCCAAACATTTGAACCCATTTACCCTCTAACCAGTAACAACAGATTTGCCTTTATCCACACATCTGCTGATACTGAGCATTTTCTAAAAATCTTTCTCAGTCTTTTAGATCATCCTTAATTGAGGTTAAATGTGTTTTCATAAGTTTACTTGTCTTTTGTCTTTACTTTGGGAATAACCAGTTCATTTACATCCATTGCCTATTTTGAGGGTGGACATTTACATATTTTCTTACAGAATAGTAAAGTTTCTTTATATACCCATTGCAGCACCATCTATGGTAGTCTTTTCCTGGCAATTTAAATTGTTCTTTTTTTTCTTTTCACCTTTTGACCCCCTTCACCTGTTTCTCCTACCTAGCCTTCAATCCCTGCCTCTGACAGCCACCAGTTGGTTCTCTATATCTACAAGCTTGTTTTTTTTCTTTTTTCTTTTAGACTGTACATTTATCTGACTTACTTCCTTAAGTATGATGCCCTCAAGGTCCTTCTATGTTGTTACAAATGGCAAGATTTCACCGTTGTTTATGGCTGAATAGTATTCCTTTTTATTTTGTTGATGGTTTCCTTGTAGAAGCTTTTCATTTTTTTTAGTTTGATGTAGTTTTCCTTGTATATTTTTGCTTTGATTGCTTTTGCTTTTGGTGTCTTATTCAAAAAGTCATAGCCAAGACCTGTGTCAAGGAGTTTATTGCCTATGTTTTATTTTAGGAGTTTTATGGCTTCAGGTCTTACATTCAAGTCTTTAATCCATTTTGAGTTAACTTTTTTATATGGTGTAAGAGAGGGTCCAGTTTCATTCTTCTGTATGTAGCTGTCCAGTTTCTCCAGCACCATTTATTAAAAAGACTGTCTTTCCCCCACTGTATATTCTTGACTCCTCTGTTATAAATTAATTGACCATATATGGGAGGGTTTATTTCTGGGCTCTCTATTCATTGATCTGTTTCCAGATCAATTCATTGATCTCTATTGTATTCATTGTATTGATTGATCTCTGTTCACTGGTCACAGTGTGACCCATGCCAGACTGTTTTGATTACTGTAGCTTTGTAATAAAGTTTGAAATCACCCCATACCCCTTTTTGAAGCACATTTCCATTGTATTTGGGGGATTTGCATTGTATTTGTAGTTGCAGGATTATTTTTGGTAAGAAGTTATGCAGTGGATAAAGACTGCCTCTGAAAACTGACTCTGGGGAGCAGATGTCATTCAGATGCAGGCTTGGGAAAGTTAGTCTTCACTTTCCCCAGTATCTCCTCTCATCTAAAAGAGAACCTAGGGGAACTCAAGAAAGAAAAGACAGGTAGTGAAATAAGTAACGTGGAATAAAGTTGGTCCTCAGGTTTTCTGACATGATAAAGGTCTTGCATTCTTAGGGGGGTTATGTGTTTTGACATACATTGTCCCCTTTGGTACACACAGTGATGGCAGAGGAAGGTAACTAAGAATTTACCTGGAAGGTGCATACCTGCCACAGCCAGAAGTCATGGCTTTCCACTTGACAGCTGGGTCAGTGAGTAGTCTGGCCTCTTAGCTTCCTAATCAGACCAGTAGTTTGGGGTTAAGTTACCAGGTGTCCATCTTACCACTGTAGGCTGCCTGCCTGCCACTAATAGAGATTTTGCATTTCATGTTATACCAAAACAAAATTTATTCCATAAAATAAAGCTTGAGGGGATTCCCTGGTAGTCCAGTGGTTAGGACTCAGTGCTTTCACTGCTGAGACCTGGGTTCGATCCCTCATCGAGGAACTAAGATCCTGCAAGCCTCACAGTGCAGTCAATAAATAAATAAATAATAAATAAAACTTAAAAAAAAAAATCTATCCTCAGAGATACTGCAGGTTTGATTCCAGACCACTGCAGTAAAGCAAATATCATAATAAAGCGGGTCACGTAAGATTTTTGGTTTTCCAGTGCATATAAAAGTTATGTTTATACTACACTGTAGTCTATTAACTGTATAATAACATTATGTCTTAAAAAAAATGGACATACTGTAATTAAATACTTTATCGGTAAAAAATGCTAACCATCATCTAACAACACAGGACTGCTGCACATCTTCAATTTGTGAAAAAACACAGTATCTTTGAAGCGTAATAAAATTAGGTGTGCTTGCCTACAGAATTAGCCCTTTGTCATGCTCTGACCCTTTATTTAAGAAGTATTCATTCACATCTCAGTCGAATTTGCCTTCTTTTTATAATTCTATTTATTTATCTACGTTTGGCTGTGCTGACTCTTTGTTGGTGTGCTTTCTCTACTTGCAGCGAGGGGCTGTTCTTTAGTTGCAGTGCTCAGGCTTTTCATTGCAGTGGCTTCTCTTGTTGTGGAGCATGGGCTCTAGGGCATGGAGTATGGGCTTAGTTACTCCTCAGCATGCGGGATCTTCCCGGATCAGGGATCGAACCCATGTCTCCTGCATTGGCAGGGAGACTCCTTAGCAATGAGCCACCAGGGAAGCCCCCCAGTCAAATTCAGTAAACGCTTACACCTGCTGTCACATGGGGAACTTATCTTTCTAGCTGGAGTCTATCCTTCTGCCTGTTCATTATTTCTACCTAGAAGTGTGTGTCCTCGGCTTCCCATGAGGATTCAGTGATGTGACGTGCTTTCGTTCAGAGTGTATGTTACCTACAGCCAGGCTTTGACTCTGGGTAGCCACTGCCCAGCCAAACTTCCAGATTTCAGCAGTTAAATCTAATACCACAAAACCAAATGTAGGATAGCTCAGATCTATTAATATGCGAGGAAATGTTACCTACCCCAAAAGACATTAATGCAAACCCAAGATGATTAAAAGGCATTTCTTTGATCAGATCACTTTGGCTGCCAGAGACTCAAACCATTTTGGCTTTTCTTTTCTCTTTCCATAGATGTAACTCCTTCATTGAAAATTCCTCCGCTCTCAAGAAGCCTCAGGCCAAACTGAAGAAAATGCACAATTTAGGACACAAAAACAGCAGCCCTCCCAAAGAGCCTCAGCCTAAGAGGGTGGAAGAGGTCTACAGGGCTTTGAAAAATGGACTTGAGTAAGAACATCAAACCTAATGATACATTGAAACCTTTTTCCTTTCTAAAATCCTCAGGAGGGTCAGAGAAGCTAGTCTTGTGAGATAATTTTAGAATGTCTATTTCTGTAGCATGATTGCACCATAATTGAAGAAACCTTAAATGAGTCCAAAAGATAATGAACTCTGTCGGTTTCCATCATAGCCAAACATTGAAAGAAGCCTGAAAAAGTCATATATTTATATTTAACTCACCATTGGATTTCACTTCAACAATGGTAGATAGGCATATCTGTCCTAGAGACTGCTGAAGAAGGGTTCGAAAACCTTCCCAAGTATATTATAATAATGGTTTGTCCAGAATAAAACTTCCAACTAGTGTGTGGTGAGATGCATACAGTCAATGTCGTGTGGAACTTAGATGGGATTCCGTGAGCCCGGACCCAAGACTGACTCCACAGTACTCACTCCTCCCTCTTCATTGGTTTTGCTTTCCTGCACTGCCAGCCTCATGGGGTTCTCATTTTAGACCATCTGGATAATATCAGAGGCAACTGCTGGAGCTTTCAAAATGTGGGAAGTTTGGAAAAATGCAGAGCCTCTCCCTCACCAGCTCTGCACTCCACGGAGTAAGGTTCAGGTTCTTAATCCCCCTGTTCAGGTCAGCATCAGCACCAAGGCCACTCATTGGTCATGGAGTTCATGATCACATCTCTCTTATCTTTACAGTGAGTATCTGGAGGGTCACCAGACAGAGCTGGACAAGCTGACAACTCAGTTAAAAGATATGAGAAGGAACTCTCGCCTGGTAGGTATTAATCATTAGATGTTAACGCAGTGGGGTTTTGGGGTGGGAGAGGAGGCGCTGCTAAGTAACTTATCTTACTGACGGGCATAGGATGAGGAAGAAGCTTCAAGAAAAGCAGATCCAAGGGGCAGAGTACCATCTGCTTCCGGATGTGTATTTTAATGCTTTATTAATATGTTCCAGTACTTTCCAAGCATATTTACACAGACAAACTTTGTAATCAGGAAAAAAAATACTTAAAAATAAACTCCCTATACCCCTCCTCCCAAGTAATATAAGGAAATGAAAAGTTGGGATTTTCCTCCGGGAGAGAGTGATTCACTGGGAAGCCTGGCATGCTGCAGTTCATGGGGTCACAAAGAGTCGGACACAACTTAGCCACTGAACAACACCACCACCATATTTTTAGTGCTGGAATTTGGAGCCCAGAACTTTTGTTTTATCTCAGTTTTTTAAAAAAGTAATAGGTGAGTGATATCAGAAAGGGGAAGGAAGCTCAAGAGGCCATTGTTAGGAGAAATCAGAGGAGTCCTTGAGCCATTTTAACTACACATGGTATTGTTGGAGATTCTTACAATTTTCCTCTATTCTGATGAATCTGTGAGGGCTTCTCTGCTTGAGGAGGTGTTTCTAATGATTTTAAATGATTCTGTTAAGTCCTAAATGATATTATGCCTTAATGTCCCAAGGCATCAGAAAGTCCGGGAAAAGTCTACATACACAAGGTCCAGATATACATGAATAGCTGTTATCTTTTTTAAAAGATGTGCTAAAATGTATGTTGTTGTCCTGCAAAGCCTGAAATATGCAGGCTCAGGGGCTTCCCTCCTGACTCAGTTGGTGAAGAATCTGTGCGCAGTGCAGGAGACCCAAGTTCGATCCCTGAGTTGGGAAGGTCCCTTGGAGAAGGAAATGGCAGCCACTTCAGTACTCTTGCCTGGAGAAATCCATGGACAGAGAAGCTGGGTAGAGGTTAAATTCTTCATAGAAAGTTGAGGTTTTATATTCTAGTGATATTAAAGGATAAAGTGCTCCCATTTATGTGGAACTCACTGTGGAGTGGCCTTCAGAGCTTTTGAATGTCCTTGACAGTCCTCAACCGCAACAAATGTTCCTCTTTGGAGAACAATGGTGTGTGGATGGAGGAGCTTCCAGCGGGACCAAGTGTTCCATAAAAACCCTTCTGATGGGGGCTGTGGGCTTAGTGTACTGATGCTCCTATGATATTGTGACCCAGGAATAAACATGCTTTAAAGACAATTTGTGGAAAGCCTGTCACCACTCTCAAGGACTCTTCTTAAATATCAATTTTTATGTGTTTAAACAGGAAGGCAAGTCTTTTTTTAAAACATATATCACTGCTATTTTTCTTTTTTTTTTAATCACTGCTATTTTTCATGTTAACATTAAAAAAAAATTTTTTTAAGTGAAGATGAATTTCTGTGCCCCTCACTATGTAAGAGAGGAGAGCTCAAAGCAAGTGAACGTTTTATAGCTCCCAGGGGGCAGTGAGGACTGGGCAGGGTTCTGGAGACAACAGAATATAAATAAATACTAGCTCTTAAAAATATTCTTAGTGGTATTTAAAATAACCCAGATTTTTGCTCTTTTAAAGCAAATGTAAAAAGTCCAACAGAATGTTTTAGGGCTGATCATTATTTCACTGATAATGCAGAAATGCAGACAAAACCCTTCGATTCATGTCACTAATGGTTTTGAGGGAAATGTGTTTTAACCCGGATACTGTTTTTTTTTTTTAATTGTAGGGTGTGCTATATGACCTAGACAAGGTAAGTTATTGTTCTGTGTTTGGGGCGTTGCTGGGGAAAAAAACCCTTCATCTTTGAGAAGTCAGTGATCTCCTCTTAGATCCAGTTAAGGTCCTAGAGAAAGAGTTCATGCTTTTATCTAATGAGGATGATGTAAATACTATGATCTACAGACTCAATAATATATTTAAGGTCACTTTTGTAAAAATGCCACCTGGTTTCGGGGCTTCTCCGTGTGCTGGTAAGTTTAAGAATTTTCCAAGGGTTTAAAGGTCCATACCTGTGTTCTCTCCAAACGGGAACTATCATATTTCATCAAATGGAAGACGTCTTTGATTAGAAAATCATTATCTTATGTGCCACTAAGAAAAAGAGTGATTCCAGTTAAACTGTGGCACATTTCTTTCTTTTCACTGAGAATGTGTATTTTACATTTAGTGACAAACTCTCTTAGACCTATTTTAAATGTATGTATTTTTTTAAAGTTATATACAATGCTGTCTCTTTCCATGCCTTTCTGTATATTTGAGACCTCTGATGCTGAATCCTAGTATAATCTGTTTGCAAATATTTTAAAGGGTAATTAAGTTTAATATTTATAACTCAAATGGAAGAGGTGACACCTAACCAACTGTGATTATCTTGAGGCAGGCACAGACAGCAGCTGTTGTAAAATGCACCCCAATTTCAGAAACATTAAAATGGGGGTGAGTTCATCTTTGAACTGATAAAATGTCTTTATGAAGGAATTTAAGTATGCTCCAATATGATACTGTCCTGCCAGAAATCCAGGAAATTCCATTTGTTTGGCCTCCTTTGATGTTAAACATAAGGATTCTAAAAGCTAGCTGAAGTTCATCTTTCAGCATATGTATTCAGTATTTTTTAAAAATGCTGTCTAAGTTGATACTAGAGAATCCTTTAAAGTAATAACAGAGATAGAAGGAAAGGGGAACTAGTGAACAGTTTCTGGCATTTTTGAGTATGAGATAATTAAGATAGCCACACAGGGCTTCCCTGGTGGCTCAGTGGTAAAGGATCCACCTGCCAGTGCAGGGGACACAAGTTCCATCCCTGGGATCCCCGGTCCAGAAAGATCCCACATGCGGTGGAGCAACTAAGTCTGTGCGCCACAGATGTTGAGCCTGTGCTGCAAAGCCTGAGAACTGCGGCTACTGAAGCCTGCGCATCCTAGCCCATGCTCTGCAACAAGAAGCTGCCGTGATGAGAAGCCCGTGCACCACAGCCAGAGAACAGCCCCCACTTCCTGCAACTAGGGGAAAGCCCAGGCAGCAGCGAAGACCCAGCACAGCCAAAAATAAATACATAAAGTTGTAAAATAAAAATCTTTAATAAATAGTTACACAGGTCTAATCAGTGAAACTGTAAATGTCTGTACTTTTTCAAACTTCTTCTTTTAATTCCAGCAAATTAAAACGATCGAAAGATACATGAGACGCCTGGAGTTTCACATCAGTAAGGTAATTGACGTTCCTCTTGGCTTTGCCTGTTTTTCAGTTCTTGGTCACTAATCAGTATACCTTTGGCCTGAACGTAGCGTCTAGTCCATGGAGAACTTCTTATCCAATTGATTCAAAGCCTAATTAGCAATTAAATCCTCCAACAGGCAGTAAAACTGGAGGAAAAAAATAAGAATGAAGAGCCTGATGATCTAGCACATTTCTTACTCTGCTTCAGTTCAACAGATATTTAGTAAGTGTTTCCTGTGCATGTGCCCAGTGACTAGTGTAGAATCCAGCCTCAGTGTGGTCTGGTCAGAGATAAGATTGCACCAGACTGACCCTGCAAAGATCTTCACACTTGCTTAACTTTACACTTGGGGTCCCACATGCAACAAGGTTCTGTATCCTTCCCTGATAAAGAAGGGACCCCCATAATCTTCTTTATCAAGGCCTTTAAAATACTTAACCACAGCTACAGTATAGCTCCCTCAATCTTTCTCATGCTCACTTAAGTTTCTTCCACTCTTCTTCACATGGCTTGGTTTCCAAGTTCCTTTTCATCCTCATTGCTTCCCTCTGTGTTCTCCAGTTTGTCAGGGTCCCTGATATCCAGCTCTGAACCCTACAAATAGTTGACTGATGGTCCCACCACCCTAGCATGGAGTGGGATTATCCCCGTCACTCTGGACACTGTCGGCAATATTGGCATAACCTAGAAACAGTTTCCTTTGGAGGGCAGCTGAATCAACACTAGCAGCAATTCCTGTTCTCATCTGCACCCATCAGAGGCACCCTCTCATCTTCCAAGTGTGGAGACTGGAGGTTTCAGCTATTCTCTGTACTAGGAGTCAGAAGTTTTACTTCCCTTCTCTGTGACATACTCACTGGGCTGTATCATCTAGGTGAACCTTGACTTCCCGCTCTGTGTAGTGAGCCTGGAGTTGCACGTAGTCAATCTAGATGATCCTAAGAATCCTTTCCAGTTTAGAATTCTATGATGATTTATATGTCTGTAAACATATGATAGTGCCTTTGTACATTCCTACTTTGAAAGGTATTTATTACCTTGGTAAATCTGAAATTGCTCCTATTTCTGTTCAACTCAATAAGTAAAACAATGACATCCATTAGAAGATTCTGATGTGGCAGGCGAGCCTGGAAACTACTCTGTTTAGTTGGGAAAATAGCAAGAAAACAGTATTAGGAAAAAGTGTATTTATCCATCTTATATCCATCATTGTAAGATATAACAATCTTAGTGGTTATTAAAGGTTAGTAACCCCCTATCTGTGGCATCTTATGCATGGATTCCTAACAAATCCTAATAAGTTACATTTTATTGACTCCATTTATTTGATGAGAGCCAATTCTAACTTATAGGACTTCCCTGTAGCCCAAACGGTAAAGAATCCGCCTGCAATACAGGAGACCAGGGTTTGATCCCTGGGTTGGGAAGATCCTCTGGAGAAGGTTATGGCAATCCACTCCAGTATTCTTGCCTGGAGAATCCCACGGACAGAGGAGCCTGGTGGGCTACAGTCTGTGGGGTCACAAAGAGTCAGACACGACTGAGCGACTCTCACACACACACACACACACACACACACACACACACACTGCTAACATAGGTAAGACAAATTCTTACCTACAGCTGGGCCAGTTTCTGCTTAGGTGAGTGCAGCCAGCTAAATCCACCAACCCCAAAGATAACTAAACCCCTGCTTAGTTATCCTTTATGTGAAAGGTTAACTCCATTTGGCTAGGATGGACTAATATTTAAATGAAAATAAACATGTATAATGAATCACTTTGCTATATACCTGAAACTAACATTGTTAATCAGTGATACTCCTATATAAAATAAAAATTAAAAATAAATAAAAATAAGGTATTTAAAAAATAAATGAAAACAAGAATAAACTGTTCTTTAAATGCAAAGTAGTGTACTAATCATTAGGGCTATACCATTGGTCCAGTGAGCAGTTTCCTTATTGAGAGGATTATAGTCTCAGCGACTTCGGAAAAGATGTTGAAGGGCCAGTCCCCCAGGAAGCCACACAGGTGAGGCAGCCAGGCCTGCATTAGAAGAGGTATCGGCTCCTGTGTTTCTAAGTCTCCAGGGGACCAGCCACATCAGACAGTCTGCACCGTTTATTTAAATTTTCAAGCTCCTTGCCCATCCCTAACCTACTAAATCAGCATCTCAAAGTGAGGCCTGGACATCAACATTTTAACAAGCTTACCAAGTGAGTCTTAGTTTGAATGTATGGAAACCACCCTCAATGCCAGTCACCAGCCAAAGGATCTTATCGGCAGATATGCCACCATCCCTTGGGTCCTATATCTCCCTCTTATTCAGGGACAAATCCACCAACCCCAAAGATGAAAGACTGTTGTTCCTTCCAGAGTTTTGACTATTCCTCTCAGAAAAGTAGAGTGAATTGTCGAGTAGCAACAAAGAATCCTTTACCCAAGAGAATCATCTTCAGTCTCTTTAACATTCATGTACTCAGCTAAGCATCACTGACATCTGTATAGAGAGAGCAACCATGGAAAATTATACCATTAACAGGTAGTAGTAATAATGCTTTTTAGTGATCAGCCAAAAGTTTGCCTTCAGGACAAAAGGGGAATCTTAAACCCTGAAATCCATCATATTCATCTCTACCTTCTTCTGAATCCACAGCTTATAGCCTCCTTTTAGAGAGAACAAAGTTTGTACTGAAATGAAAAATTCAAGTAGTCCTGGGTCAATAACTATCTCCCAGAAAATAGAACATCTAGTGATATCATGCTTTTTAATCTGCTTGAAAATGCCTATAGTTAACTGAGGTTGGTGTATTGATAATTGAAATATTACAAGAGACTGTAGAGATAAATATCAGGAATAACTTTAGGTTTTCTCCATGTAGGCACGGACATTTGGGGATGTTGACATTTGGGGATAATTCTTTATTGTAGGCTGTCCTCTGTGATGTTTAGCAGCATCCCTGGCCTCTACCCATTAGATGCGAGCAGCACCTTCCAGCTGTGACATTGGAAAATGTCTCCAGATGTTGCCAGATGTCTCTTGAATATCACAGTCACCCTGGATTGATTGAGAATCACTGCCTGAGAAGTACTAAGTGACTGTCAGGCTTATCTAATGAGTATGATCAATAACCACTTGCAAACAGTATATTATTATTTAAAAGCCTAGGAATAGAGGTGTTACAGAGAAATGTTCATTTCCATTCCTTGCATTTATGTTTTTAATTGTGGTGTAATTTACATGCCAAAAATGTCACAGTTGTTATGTTCAGTTTGATAAGTTTTGACAATCATGCTTCACTCTAATTTTGAGAATAACTTACCATTGTTTTCTGTCTTTTGATGAGCCACATCTTTACAAAAACCATTTTCGATAAACTGTCTCAAGTTCTTTTTAAAAAGAATTCTAAATCTGGATGCGTGAATATCAGCTGGTCACACTCTCTCTTAAAATAAAGTGATAATAGCCCAGTATATGCAAGGTCTTCACATCAGTGTGATACCGTACACACTCTTCCAGTGTTTGTTCCTTGTGTAAGACTCCTGTCTTCATTATCTAAACCTTATCTCACTCAGTCCACCAATGTTAAGTTCATTTTCATTTCATGCCATTTGAAAAGAAAGCTCAGAGTAAAATCTGGTTTGAAATAGAAAATGTATCTTAGTGGCTAAAGCAAAAATGATGGGTCTGTCTAGAAAGGATGGCACTGCTACAAGAGTCTGCTTTTGAGTTCAGAAACATAAAGCATCTTGAACTCTTAGCAATGGTCAGTGTCCCTTCCTTCAAGTGTGATAAATATTGATCGCGTTCTTGTTTTGTTTTGATTCTGGCAGGTAGATGAACTCTATGAAGCTTATTGTATCCAAAGACGCCTCCAAGATGGTGCCAGTAAAATGAAGCAAGCCTTTGCAACATCCCCGGCCAGCAAAGCTGCCCGCGAGAGCCTGTCGGAGATCAACCGGAGCTACAAAGAGTACACAGAGGTATGTGCCCGCCTGCTCAGCTGTTGAACTCCACCTGGCCTGACCTGAATTGAATTATCAAGAACCATTGGGTTTCCCAGGTGGTGCTAGTGGTAAAGAACCTGCCTGCCAATGCAGGAGGGCACGGCAACCCACTCCAGTGGGTTGGAGAATCCCATGGACAGAGGAGCCTGGCGGGCTACAGTCCACGGGGTCGCAAAGAGTCAGACACGACTGAAGGGACTTAGCACACTTGCACCCCAAGGACCGGGCGTCCTGCAAGCCTGTTCTACTCTTTAGAGGGAGAAGTTTTGCCGTTTGCCTGTCTTGCCTTTTCTTGAGGCCATCGGTGCAATTTTTTAAAATGGCTCTTGGGTGGTATCGTTCGTGGTATTTTGATTCAGCACCTTCTGTAAACTCCAGAGCACGTGACTTTCTTGGTCTGTGAGCATCACCTGTCAGGCATACCTCTCCTAGTGTAGTTGTAATAGGCTTGTTCACAGAAGTGCAAATCCACAGGATTTTAAATGCTGTGAAGCCGTTCGTAGGACAAGTGTTCTACTTCTTTTTGTGTGCAGTCTATGTACAAGTAGACTACAAAGGCATGTTAAAAATGTCAGCAAATGAATGAGCCACAAATGGGCTGGTTCTGCTCACTGAAATGCACTTCCAGATTCTGTAGTGTACAACCCATTCTAGCTTTATCCCTGCAAACTGAACAGACCTTGTGGTTAAGATGGCCCCCCTAGATGTTGGGTTCACTAACCTCCTGCCTATGCTTATTTTATTGTAAGAAATTTCCGCTCTATCTTAAAGGAGGCAAGAAAAAGCGTCATGAACAGAAGCATGCTTTCCTGCTTTCTGACTGTCTCTGGGGCCCAAACATATGACACAGAGAGGTCTTTGCTCCCCCAGGGGTCACCTGATAGCAGTGTCTGAGATGAAATGACTGAATTATTAAAACCTTCTCACTGTCCCATGTGTCTTTGTTCAGAGATCCAATGTCATAAATGAAGTCATCGGCCTGATGAGGGTCTACTGGACAGTTCCCAGGTCTGAGCATCCGTCTCAGCCCTGGGATGGGAGGGACATCTTAGATGACTTGCCACAGGATCATTTCCTGTGTAAACCCTCCAGCCCCGCCTCTTGTCTGAACCAGCTTTGTCTTTTTCATGGCCTAAAGCAGGGCTTCTTCACCTAAGTTCCCCTTTCAGGAGAATGCTTTTTGAATGTATGAAATAAAACCCATAGAAATTCAAAGGAAATAAATTATATTGAGATATAGTCAATTCAGTATTGTCAGCACAGTGATCAAAATATTTTTAAAACCAAATGTGTGGTATAGTACAAGACTGCTGCTTTATGAATACATCAAACTATAAGATTTAGTAGTGGCTCCAAGAACTATTGAAATTTCCAAGTATTGAAATGATTTCTCAAGGTGCCTGCAACAATTGATGTGACATAAACATGGACTTTGACTAGGTCCCAGTCGCGGGTCCCAGTCGTACAGCTGTGGCTTGTTTTCTTCATTCATGATATACAGACATACTAGATTTTAGTTAGAGGTTAGTGGAGATAGCAACGTGACTTTTTCTTTTTCCCCATCCAAGCTGATGGAGCACAGGCTAAGAATCTCTGGCTTAGAAGCAGTCCTAGTTCAGGAGACCTCGTTTCCACACATCTCTGAAATCAAAAGAGCAGTTAACAGTGACAGCGGCCATTCTCAGTACACACGACGAAGACAGAGCAGCAGCCTGTGCCTGTCCTAAAACTTTTGCAGGGTGTTTCAGAAACACCCACCCATGGAATCCTGCTCAATGTTATGTGACAGCCTGGATGGGAAGGGAGTTTGGGGGAGAATGGATACTTGTATGTGTATGGCTGAATCCCTTTTCTGTCGACCTGAAACTATCACCATTATTGTTTATTGGTTATACTCCAATATAAAACAAAAAGCTTTAAGAAAGAACCACCCCTGGTCGGGTGCCAAGACACAACATCATATTTGCTCACAAACTCAAGGTGTTGTGTAGTGTAATTTCAGCAAGAGGAGAAGGAAGGCCAGGACATCAGTAGCTTCCTACCTCGCTTGACATCAAGTGGATTTGTGTCTTCACATAACCACAAAAAACAGGGATTTTATATCACAAAAAGGGTTTAGGAATCGATGGTTCTGGGAGCCTTTTGCAATGGCAGCAGTGTTCATCCAGGGCTGCCTGGGGGAGACAGAAGACAATTCTGACTGTGGGTGTCCTCAACTGTTAAACTAGCTGTCCCCTGCCCCCACCAAATTTCCTAAAGACACTGGTCACAGTCCTGACGTGTACGATAACATCGTTGATATATTTCTAGAAACAGTAATGCATTCGTTCTCAGAGACACCCAGTGCTCAGAGGAAGAAAATTGGTTTACAAAACTGAGACTTTGTTTTTACAACTTTCCAGCTGCACAGAGTTCAACCTCAGGAAGTTTTCCCCAGCTTCGCTGAGCTATTTGAGGTACTGGCGTTTTAAGAGTCAGAACCCCTAGCTTGCAAGTCAATCCTGAAGCCCTCTGGAAACAAAAAATTCAAATGGAAGCACCCCTCAGCCAGGCTGGGAGGGGAGTTTAGGGGAGAATGAATACACATGTATGTATGGCTGAATCCGTTCACTGGCCACCTGAAACTCTCACAACATTGTTAATCGGCTGTACCCCAATATACAATAAAAAATTTTTTTTAAAGATAGCATATGGAAGCAGCCCTTGTCCATACTCACTGATCTGCCCAGGCCACAGGCCCAAGCCCCCAAAATGTGATGGGGGAGGAGCCTGCAGATGCTGCCCCAGGGTGTCTGTGTGGGGCAGGGGGTTGGGGGCGTGCGCGCAGGAGGCTGGCACAGGGCCTTCTGCTCAGAACAGCAGAGGTGACAGCTGTGTGCTGTGCTTAGGCGCTCTGTCGTGTCCAAGTCTTTGGGACGCCATGGACTGTAGCCCACCAGGCTCCTCTGTCCATGGGATTCTCCAGGCAAGAATACTGGAGTGAGCTGCCATGCTGTTCTCCCAGGGATCTTCCCAACCCAGGGATCAAACCCAGGTCTCCTGCATTGCAAGCAGATTCTTTACCGTCTGAGCCACAAGGGAAGCCCAAGAATACTGGAGTGGGTAGCCTATCCCTTCTCCAGGGGATCTTCCCGACCAAGGAATCGAACCAGGGTCTCCTGCATTGAAGGTGGATTCTTTACCGGCTGAGCTACCAGCCACTGCAGGAGGGCTTCCGTGGGGGCAGCCCCCGGCCATGGTGCTTTTCCTCTTGATTTCTGACTGTGGCTGCTCTGTTGCTTAGGTCCTCAGACACTGAGGAAGTAGGCTGGGTGGTTAGATATCTAACCACAGGCAGAGATGGTGTCGCTCCTTTGCCTCCCCTGTTCCCTCCACATTAGACGAGAAGAGGACGCTTGTCAAACCCAAGAATCATTTCGGGGGCCTCCTGGCACGGCAGCAGAAACCCTGCCTCACTCGCTTGGAGTACAGTTGAACTTCTCAGCTCTTTTGACTCCAAATTATTGTAAAGAAAATTTTAAAACCTACAGAAAACTAAAGACTAGTATGTTCACCATCATATTACTTTATTAAGACTTACCAATTGCTAATGTTTTGCCATATTTGCTTTCCTTCTCTTGCATATGCTCCGTTTTTTTCCCTTTTTACTAAGTCATTCGATAGTAAGTGGTAAATAATGTGACACTTCACCCCATAAATATTTTAGCACGGATCCTTTAATGAGAACCTACATAACACATGTATTCTTTGCATAACCACACACCATTATCACAACTAAGAATATTAATTACCAGTCATTCTATAGAATGATCTAACATCCTGTACATTTTCAGATTTCTCTTATTTGGTCCAATAATGTCTTTCATAACTCTTTATTTACTTTCAAATCAGGATGGAATCAGAGTTAACACATTGCATTTGGTTATTATGTCTCTTTAATCTCTTTTAACTAGAATTTGTATCCCACAGTACTACTGCCTTTTTATAGAATCCAGGCCAGTTGTTTTAGAATCTCCCACATTCCGGATCTATCTGACTGTTTATAAGTTAACTTGGTCTCCTGTGCTCTAAATTTCCCGTACCCTAGAAGGCTCATTTAGGCTTAGGTAGAACATTTTGTCAAGATTGCTCCATGGGCAGGGTTGTGTAACTCATCGCAAACAGTAAATGCCTCCAGTTTGAGCAGTGGTTGTGCTCCGCTAGGAGAACATGGTGTGCTTTGAGAGAAGCTTGGTTCTAACGCTGGTCCCCTGTGCTCTTTCTAGAACATGTGCGCCATTGAAGCAGAGCTGGAGAAGCAACTGGGGGAGTTCTCCATCAAGATGAAAGGTATCCTCCCCCCTGTTTAGAGAGGCAGGCGTCAGCTCTGCAGAGCTCCTCCAAGTGCCACATCACATACCTATTGTCCTTGCAAAGATACTATGCCTCCCTCTCTCAGCCCTCCCCACTTAATTTATTGATGCTCCGGAACCTTCTCATCCTGAGCCTTGCCTGCACACTTCAATATTTACTATAACAAGATCTCAAACATACACAGACATGGAGAGAATATTACAAGGAACCCCCATAGACCCATCACCTCGATTTCATAATTGGCAAGGTTTTGCCGCCTTTGTTTCATCTGCTTCCTTGTCTTTGTTTTTCCCTTGATGAAATAAAACTTATATGTGGGAGTCTCCCCCTGTAGACTGCAATATGCCTCTCTTAAAGAACAGGGACATCTTGGGACCTCTCTGGTGGTCCAGTGGTTGGGACTCTGTGCTCTCAGCGCTGAGGGCCCAGGTTCAATCCCTGCTCAGGGAATTAAGGTCCCACAAGCTGCGTGGTGCTGTCGGGGGAAAAAATAATAGGGCATCTTACATCACCACATGCCAAGTATTATCACTTCTAATAAAATGAGCATGCCTTTGTTATGAATCCATTCCATTGGCAAATGGCCCAGTCATCTTAAAAATGAGTTGTATAGTGGGTTTGTTCAAATCAGGATCCGCAGTAGGTTCACACATTATCATTGGTCATCAAGTATCTCTTTTTAGTTTCCTTTTTATATAAAACAGACCCCACTCTGTTTTGCTTTGTTTTCTTACCGTTGACTTACTACGTTGAAGCCACTGTTGCACAGAGTGTCCCACCACGTTCTAGACTTGTCTTCTGGCTTCTTGGTGTCATTAAGTTCGTTCCTTTATGTTCTACTTTCCTGTAAACGACCTACCAAGTTCTTTATTTTAAAATGCTTTTTAGTGTTAACGCTCCCAGAGGACTGCGCGTTTAACCACCACCTTTCTGGTACCGACTCCAGAAAGTTCTACCCTAAAAGCAGTGTCAGCTTGCACCGCTAGCATCTTCAAAACAAAAAGAAGCTCTGGTGTTAGAAGACAGAGCATCCCCCAGGGGTCAGGCTTACAGCCCAGCGGCGGCAGGGCTCTCAGAGGGGCAGCCATCACAGCAGGGCCTTCTTCCTTCTGAGTCTGGGCCGTTCGCCCGCTCACCGCGGGGAAAATGGCTGCCGTGTGCCTGCCTTTTGCTGAGGTGTCTTAGCAGCTGCACTCCTGGGTCGCTAATGGGGATTTAATCACCCTCTTGCCTACTTTTTGCCACCAAGGGAGTAGGAAAGGGGCGCTTTTTAAAAAAAGGCGTTCACCAAGAGAGCTTCATTTTCCAATGAGTCACCTATCTCAGGAGAGAGATTTTTCTGTCAAGGTCGACGCCTGGAGAGCTTCTCTGTATGAGTATACCTGCCAATCCACACGACCTTGACCCTCAACTGCCCACGCGGCTTTGTTCTTCTCCCCAGCAAATCCCACTGCCAGTCAGTCTGGTATTCAGTGTGAAGTCTCAACACTTACGTCACTGCTGAGGTGCGGCACCTGTGCTTTTCTGGATTTTTGGTCCATCCTCTCCGTTTTGAGTCCTCACCTGAGTCAGTGGTTCTAAAACCACTCGGGCCCTGCCCCGCTTTCAGCATGTCAGGGCGGGGCCCTGGAGTGTGTGTATTTTTCATCCTCGGGATGATTCTGTCAACAGCCTGCTTCTGGAAAACCACTGTCCTGGGTCAGCGTTTCACAGAGAACGCTTCTCTCTCCTTCCCCCAACTCTCGAGGCACCAGCCACGCAGGCTAGCATAGTCCAGGGTCTCACAGCTGAGAGAAACTCCCGTCACACCCATCTTCTCACTGTTAACACAGGCAGTGCCATACATCCCCTGTTTCTGACACTGTTATCAAATGCACCAATTTGGGGCGGGATGGTAATTTCCCCATTTCTGCCATGGGGAGCGGGGTTAAGTGACTTGTCCACAAAGTCACACAGTACTTTATTAATTTTTTTGGCTGCAGTGCATGGCATGTGGGATCTTAGTTCCCCAACCAGGGGTCAAACTCATGCTCCCTGCAATAGAAGCGCAAAGTCTTAACCACTGGACCATCAGGGAAATTCCTGAGGTGGGAAGTTCGAACAAAGTTGAGCAGATATGATAAACGATTGCCCCAAAAATGCTTTCTTCTACATGGGATGGTCATCCTCCACCCAGCACACAGGCATCCCGGGAGAGGTGCGGGAGAAAGAGGAACCCCACCCACCAGATCTGGACCTCAGGCCTGGTGGTCAGTGAGGACGCTGTGGGGACCCTGCCGTCCACTGGGGGACTGGCTGCCCAGCTGAGGAGCAAATCTGCGTTATGATGAGTTATGATGGATGGACTGAACTTTCTGCTGGCTTCTGCTCTTCCATCACTACCCTTGACTTTGTTCTCTTCTCCTACCCAGTGGGCTTCCCTGGCTTCTATCTGGGTCCAGGGATCACTCAAACCTGCAAGCTCACTTCCGCTTTCCTAATCTAACATGGAAACTTGAACTGTTTCTATGAAGCCTTTCAAGGGCAATATCCCCATGAAAATCTTCCTTTCTGTTGATAAAAGGAAGCCAGCCACTCACGCTCCAGGAAATCTTGTATCTTTGCAGTTAGCTACTTTATCTGTTATTAATTCTGGTAAGAAAAAAATTACTGCTCCCAAATACATAGTGACATAAACTGAGGATCTTTCATGATATTCTCAGACCTGGTAACTCAGCTTCTTCCTGCCACACCCTTCCCCACTTCCCTTTTCACCCCACCCCAACACACAACAACAAAATCATTCTGTGGGGTTTTTGGTGGGGGTGGGGTAGGTGATGGTGGTAAAAGCAATTGATCAAGTGCTTGCTGAGCTCCTGCTGTTGGCCAGCTGCATCCTGGTAAACGGCCCCTGGTCTTGACTTCCACACAGTCTACTGGAGAAAATGGATGCATGAGCCAGTCCAGCCTAATTCAGTGGAATAAAGAACCTGTCTAACCAATAATGTGGCCAACTGCACAGAAGCCTGGGGGGAGAGGTGAGAAGGGGGCCAGAAGCAGGGAAGAGAAAGGCTTCTCGGATGTAACTTTTGCGTTAAAGTGAGAGGACCTTGGGCTTCCCAGGTGGCGCTAGTGGTAAAGAACCTGCCTTCCAATGCAGGAGGCACAAGAGACTCGAGTTTGATTCCTGAGTCAGGAAGATTCCCCTGGAGGAGGGTATGGCAACCCTCTTGCCTGGAGAATCCTATAGACAGAGGAGCCTGGCGGGCAACAGTCCATGGGGTCGCACAGAGTTGGACACGGCTGAGCGACTGAGTAAGCAGGAGAGGACCTTGGCAGGAGAGTTGTGGGCTCCTTGGTGCCAGCTTTTAAAGAGGCTCCGGTGCCAGGCTAAAGAGCGAGAGTGCAGAGCCATCCACCAACGTGCACATGAAAAGATCTGGTCCGTTACTGAAAACAACTTCTTCTCCCAGTTATTACCTACTTCAAATTAAGTTCCAGGCAGTATCTATGTCCGAAAGTCTGTCCTGGCCCTTGCAGCTTTCAGGGCAGGTCCAGCCCAGGAGAGGGGACATCTACAAGGGAACCAGTAAATCTGCATTATTTATGTGTCAGCATAAATCCATCAGGCCTGTAATGGGAGCTCCCAGCTATTCAGCCGTTGGGCTGTTTTCCTTGGAGTAGAAAGTGTGACTTCCTTAGCTTCAGAATGACTCCCCGCAGTGCTAAATTTTGTTAAAATTGTCATGAATTTCCAACCGGCCTTTTCTTTGTGTACGTGCTGCCAGCCAACACATGTGATCCTTTTTATCTTTGGAAAAGAAGATCCTCATAGAACTAGGGAAAAAGGGATGCATTCTCCTGGCAGAATGGCCCTTGAACAAAGGAAGAGCAGGGTGGGCGGCTGCTCACTGTAGCATCTGGGACTTCGGAAGGAGGTCGTGGGAGAGCTGCTTCATCGGTCCGCCGCGTTTACAGTAAAGCATCCACAAGAGGCAGGAAGTCGCACCGTGGAGATAAAAGGCCCCTCAGCCCCCGACCTCCCATGTCCGTCCCTGGTGCTGACCCCTGTGGTGGGTTTTGGAGCGGTCATCATGAAAGCTCTGTAGACAGTGCTGCAGTCATCCGCAAACCGCTGAGGAACGTGAAGCTTCCCCCAACTGAAAGTCCAAGCAGGCCTCAGACCGGAGTCTGAAAGAAACCTGGCCAGGTTGAAAGGATACTCACTAAGCAGTAAATGCAGTTGTTTCAGTTATGCCGTCAGTACTGTAAAGGCTTACATGAGCAGATAGGACTTGAGGAAGCATAGCATAGCCCCAGGCCTGTTTTTACGTACCTGCTGCCACATTGCCACGTTATGGTGATAATCACAGTATCAGTGTAATGCAAATACAAGCGATTCCAAAAATCTTTTGCCCTAATAACATGAGCTGAGAAGCTCAAAAACATCTGTACCAAGTAGCTTTCTCCCATTTGGATAAGTTCTTCCAAAACAAAATTTCTGGTGATTTTGAAAGGGAGAAAAAAAAAAAAAACATTCAAAGGATTTTCACTTTTACTCTCCTTTATCCAGCAAGGATATCAGATCAGTTTTTTAAGGTTTTTTTTGTTTTGTTTTCTTTTTTAACCAGGCTGCCACTGTAATTGCCCAGATAGGTAAACAGGCAGTAGATGAATTCTGAATAGTCTGTAGAGGTTTTTAGAGAGTGCTTAGGATTTTATTGGAATTGGCATATCCAGCCAATTTGGATTTATAAAAACAAGTTGATTGTGCTTTGGTTCAGAAGTACTAAAAATAAAAGACTAATCCTCCAGAAAACTATTAGTGAAAACTGGCTTCTTTAATTCTGCTCTTATTTCAGTAAATCTTTTTAAGAGGCTTGTAAATGTTCTACTTGTTAGTAGAAACTGGTCCTCAATGGAGCGATTCTGTGGCTAGAGAGGTGTGAGGTGCTGGTGAGTTGCTGCCATCTTCTGACAGAGGGTGGTAACAGCAGGTGCTTTGTGAAGCCTCCATGGACCGTCTCTGTCTTAACCCTGGCATCGCCCACGGAACTGGTGGAAAGCAGATTCATCTGTCTCACAGTCTCACGACTTAATGGGGCTCTTCATAGAAGAAACAGCCTTCTCTGCCCAGCAAGCACCTCTCCCATCATCCCAGCAAGGAATGTCCTCTCTCGCTGTGATAGATGAAATTCCCAGCAGTAGCTGTGCCCACAGATGGTCCCCAGAAGATATTAATGAGTTTTCACAAAGCCTGACACTTTGAGTTTTATAAATGTGCCAGTGAGGGTTTGTAAAGAGGGGAAATCGACTGTGTCTCTGACCCCAACTGCTTGCTTACAGGTCTGGCTGGCTTTGCTCGCCTCTGTCCTGGAGATCAATATGAAGTAAGTATGGTATCAGTCTGGGTGTTGGACTTGAGAGACAAGAGTCAGTTGTCATTATTTTGCTTCTTCAGTTGTCTTTTTATTTATTTATTTATTTATTTATTTTGTATTTTGAAAAAGAAATTTGGGCCCATAAGACAGTTTAGAGATTAGTATAAGACCTCTCATATACGGGTCATTTAGACACTAATTTTTAACATTATGCCATGTTTGCTTTATTGTTATTAATATTGCTGTTGTTATTTTGCTGAACCATTGTAGATTAATGCACAGATATCATGACCCTTCACCCCCTAAATTGTTTTTCTGAATACAAGAAGACATTCTTTCATATAAACGTTGTCCAGTTCTTGACATGAGCAAACTTAGCATTGATCCTTAGCTAGTGTCATTAGATAAGTGATCTACAGTCATATTATTCTGTGTCCCAATATTGTACTCAATAACAGCTTTTTTCCTGACCCAAGATCCAATCCAGGATTATTGTAGGTATCAGTATTGAAGAATAGTGAAATCTAGATCTTTCTTTAAAGAAGTATACTCCATAAAGTAAAAAAAGCTTTTCATCTTCTTCCTCTTCAAGAGGGAACCTCGGTAATTATTTCATCTAATCGTCACCTCCAGAACCTTCTCTAATTGTTCATCTCAGTGGGAGGTTGAGGGAAGTGTATTTTCCTCTCACCAGTAAATCTGTCTGACCAAGGGGAGTCTGCACACCCTCTCCCCAGAGTGTGTCGGGTTTCAAAATCCTTGTCCAGCTCCATCTCCCTTTCCCAGAAGGAGGTTGTTTAATTTCTTGCCTCTGGCCACTTAATAGATTTTAGCTGTTGGTTCCTTGTCTCTCTGAAGGGGCTGGGGAGCATGCAGAATCAGTCCAGTGGTTGTTCTGCTGAAGCAGAACTAAGGAGAGAAAGAGCTGGTTGACCTGGGTGAGCTCAAGGGCTTGATACAATAACCTTTTTTTAAAGGAAGCCCTTCGCACCCAGTCCTAGAGAAGCAGAACGTACTCCCTTTTGAAAGTCTTTCCCCACTGGTCCTCTGCTCCACCCACCCCCACCCCGAGACTTTGGAAGAAGCCACAGTCAGGATGTGGCGTGAGGATGCTGGAGAAGGCAGGTTTTTACCCTTTGGTAAAAGACCCTTTGGTGTCTTCTCCCCAGATTTTCATGAAGTATGGCCGACAGAGGTGGAAACTGAAAGGCAGGATAGAGGTAAACGGCAAACAGAGCTGGGATGGAGAAGAAATGGTGTTCCTGCCGCTGATAGTCGGGTTCATTTCCATCAAGGTATGGTATCAGCACTGTTGTGTGTTGTCTTTGCTGCTGCCACAGCTGAATGGTCTGTCCTGGAGACCTGTCCCCGAGACTTCTGCCTGCTGCCCATCCACCCCCCAGACCGCCGTCTGTGCTACAGGCACATCACCAGACCCACCATCATGTCAGAGCGGGCAGTGTAAATGTGAGACAGGCTTGGGAAACTCCCACCTCCAGCTTCAGATATGATTCTGAAATGCCTGCCCCGGCCTAGAAAGACAAAGGAGAGGGGATGCCTTCATCCAGCGCTGTCCTGTAAGGCCTTTCTCCCTTCCCTCTCTCACCAGGTCACAGAACTCAAAGGGCTGGCGACTCACCTCCTGGTCGGCAGCGTGACCTGTGAGACCAAAGAGCTGTTTGCAGCCCGACCTCAGGTGGTGGCTGTGGACATCAATGACCTTGGCACCATCAAACTCAACCTGGAAATCACCTGGTAGTAAGTTGCCCTTTTTTATATCATCGTGATAAAAATACGGGTCACAGGCTCGTGCTGTTCCCGGGGTGGCATGTGACCATCAGAATCACCAAGGAGCCTGGCATGAACGCTGACTCTCAGGCCCCACCCCAGGGCCCAGGAATCTCGTTAACAGGGCTGCTAGGTGTTCACACGTGTTAATATCATATCACTACTCTCCTCTTTGACTTTCTATATTTAAACATTTTATTCTGCCTCCATCCCTCCTTCTCAACCCTTGAACGTATATAAAAGAAATGTATCTCTCAAGTCAACTGATGTGAAGGAAAGATACGGTACAGTATGAGACAGTTTGTCTGCAGAAAGATCCTGATGCTTGCTGTGGTGTCTTAATTGCTTAACCCTCTTTATCTCAGACATTATACACTGCTTTGGAAAGCTTTGGATATCCTTAGTCTCTCCACACTCTAAATGCTGAAATAGAATATTTCCAAAGGGCGAGAGAAATCTTTTGTCAAAGTAAGGAACTTAAAGTAGTTTTCTGCTAAGAGGGATAGGGGGTGGCAGGGAGGCTCAAGAGTGAGGGAACATATGTATACTTATGGCTGATACACGTTGTTGTATGGCCGAAACCAACACAACATTGTAAAGCAATTATCCTCCAAATAAAAAGTGATTTTCTGAAGTCATCCCATGAGAAAGGTCTTAATAAGTTATGAAACACTGGTTGCTCACAACAGTTGATCTTACGTCCCTGTTACCAAGTAACGAGGGCCTATCCAATATTAACATCCAGGCCCCTTTACAATACAGAGGGTCAGGCATGGAAGCAGCAAAGACGTGTAGCCTTGTCACCGGAACAGTGTCCACACGGTTTGCCCAGCCCGTCTCTCCTCATAATCTGTAATGACTGACATCTCAAATGCAAGCTCCTCCTGGGTGAGCCCATGGCGGGATGACAAATGGCATCATTGTGAACAGACTGTTGTCCTTTCAATCACGCAGCAGCCTCTGGGTGAACTAAAATGAACAGGAGTGTTTTCTTCAGAACCAAACAATAATCTATTCCTCTCCTGTGTCATTAAAGCATCTGTCCTTGCAAAGCTCCAGGAATTTTTACAGACTTCTTCAACATCTTGTGTTGTGTTAAGTCACTTCATTCGTGACCAACCCTTTGCGACTCTATGGACTGTAACCCCCCAGGTTCCTCTGTCCCTGGGATTCTCCAGGCAAGAATACTGGAGTGAGTTGACATGCCCTCCTCCAGGGGATCTTCCTGACCCAGAAATCAAACCCACATCTCCTGTGGCTCCTGCATCACAGGCAGATTCTTTATGTTTATGTCTCTAATATGAATGAAGAAGCAGATGTAAGTGGTATCCAGGTGTGCACATAAATTGTGCTTAAAGCTGTGATGATAATCTGTGGTCCCTTGGGTGAGTCTAGGCTTCTTTATCTGCTCCACTTTTTAAAAGTCATGGTTTGTTTGATGACAGACTGATTTGGCCAAAACCAGCCCAGCTCTTCAGCTTCCCTGGCGGCTCAGTGGGAAAGAATCTGCCTGCCATCACAGGAGACACGGGTTCTATCCCTGGGCTGGGAAAATTCCTGGAGAAGTGAATGGCAGCCTACTTCAGTATTCTTGCCTGGACAGAGGAGCCTCGCCGGCTATAGTCCAAGGGGTCACAGAGTCAGACATGACTTAGTGACTGAACAGCAAATGACAAGCCCAGTTCCCACTGGTTCGAGTTTCTGTTAGTATAACGAGGTGCTTTCTTGGCCTGCGGTCCGGTGATGATGGGTGATTTTCACAAGCACGCATTCATGGGGTCCTGTTGTTTTGCAGTCCGTTTGACGTGGAGGACATGACCCCATCCTCGGGCGCTGGGAACAAGGTGGCCGCCCTCCAGAGAAGAATGTCCATGTACAGCCAGGGTACCCCAGAAACGCCCACCTTCAAAGATCACTCCTTCTTCGTAAGTTCTGTGTGCTTTCTGGAGGAGAGATGATGAACCCGAGGCAGTGCTTGCATCCAGCCTCTGAAGTGCTTAATGTACAGTGTTAGGGAGTCTCTGTAATTCCTAATGTAGTCATCCCTCTGTCTCCTCGGGGGTTCGTTCTGGGAATTCCCCTTTGATAGCAAAATCCGAGGGTGCTCCAATCAGTCCTTTATATGAAATGGCAGAGTGTTTGCACATAACCTTCACATCCTCCTGTGTAAACTAGATCATCTCTAGATTACCTGTGATACTTAATGTAATGCAAATGGCACATAAATAGTTGTAAATACAGTATAAATGCTATGTAAATAGTTGCCAGCAAATTGGCAAATTGAAGTTTTCCTTTTTGGACCTTTCGGGAATTTCTTTTCCATGGATGCATAACCCTCGAATACAGAGGGGAGGGCCGACTGTGATGTCATCTTCAAATTCACCCTAACCCAGTGGTGACTAAGGAAAGCACATGCCTAGATGCCCATGACTACCGGCGCCCAGATGGTCAACCCACTCTGTCCCTGCTCTGCTCCCCCCCACTTACCTGTTACTTTGATCAACGCATGTCAACTTTTCCGTCCCTTCTCTGAGATCAGCCTTTTAAAGAAGTAGATGTAAATAAGGGCCCCTTGTTTTAATCAGAAACGCTTGCTTAAGAGCTGACAGAAACGTAGTAACCTGCTGCTTTCCACTAACTCCCCATCTTGCTTTGACTTCTGAAGAGATGGTTGCATCCTTCACCAGACAAGCCAAGGCTGTCTGTCTTGAGTGCCTTGCAAGACTCTTTCTTTGCCAAGCTGCACCGCAGCCGCTCTTTCAGTGACCTGCCCTCCCTCAGGCTGAGACCCAAGGCCGTGCTAGAGTTTTATGTGAGTGTGGGTGGCCCGCCCGGGTGTGACGTGCTTGCCTTTGGGGGCTGGTGGCATGTATGCTTTGGCATGCCTCTTGTTTTATCTTCGCTCTCATGCTCACTGGCTAACAGTTACAGGTCTCCTGTCCCGAGGGTGGGAAATTTGGGCTTGCATGCACCTTTGTGAGAGAGGCCATTTGTCCTTCCCTTCCCATGATCTCTGCTTTTGTGCTGTGACTTTTCTCCACTGTGGCAAAGATATCCATGGTAACAAGATTGTCATTTAAAAAAACACAGTTACACATGAAGTCAAAGAAGGTTCTCATTCACAAGTTAAGCTAATGTATCACTAATATCAATCTTTACAGTTGCAGCCTTCAAAAACTGGCATTTGAGGAATTCAGAAAGATTTAAACCAATTTTCCTAGAGCTCTTTTTATTGAAAGAGGTTCTTAGCCTTAGTGCGTCTTATACTGTCATAGTAAAAGAGACTCTAATTTTCAGTCAAAGATGTAATAAGTTACCTACATGATATGTGTTGCCCTTTATGTCACAGGAGAATACACATACACATATGTACATACATGCATGGAATGTTCTGCCCTTTACAGACATATAAAGTAATCTTTGAATGTCCAGAGAAGAAAGGGTTAAAAGTCTTCTGGTTATTAATAATAATAATAACCTCTTATTAATTGAGTTTTTAAAAAAACAGGTAAAATGGATGAGGCTAAACTCCAATAAAATTTTCAAGGGAGGTGGGAAGACGATATGGGAAAGATAAAGCAGGCATCAGCTGATAAAGTAACTACCAATGCCAAGTGTATATTCATGCTCAAACAGTGCAAGTCAGAGGGGTGGGGAGGGAGTTGGCAGCGATTTCAGTCACGTCATTTAAACAAGAGCAAGATTAGAAAAAAAATGTGATGGCTTCCTATGGCCTTTTGAACTATATGTTCATAAAGCCTTTTGAACTTGATGAACAGACTCCTCAGAGCAGCCAGCTCCCTTCCGGCCCCGGTTCTCCAGGCCCACCTCTCATCTCTCCAGGCTTCATTCTCTGCCCAGCGCCCCCTTCCCCATGCACCCTCCCTTTCAGGATCTCCCACAGACTGTTGTTCCTTCTAGAACACACTTCCTCCCCCTCCTTCCTTTCTTCTCTGTCTTCTAGGGCTGAGTTCCAGGTTGTCTGTCTCCCAAGCCGCAGCCACCCCCTAGCTCCAGCGCCCACATCACTGGTCAGTTACAACACGCCTGCCCTCGGGTGCCTGTTTGTAGGCTCAGCCCCTTGGCAGCCGGTACCGCCCCTTCAGCAGGCAGCTCGTAACCTTTGCCGAAGTCCAAGCAAATACGGGCTTGGGAATGTGAGGCTGCAGAGAAAGGGCTGAAGTGGAGTTTGGAATTTAAATAAGAATCGAGATCACCCAGGCCCCCGCCCCTGCCCCCTTTTAGCCAGGGCCTCCGCCTTCCTCAGAGCTGCTGGGAATGTGTGTTCTGCAGGCGAGTTGAGGCTGGGCCGGACAGCTCAGAGGAAGATGCCCAGGGGACCCCAGGGAGGAGGTGCCGGGAGCAGGACTCAGCCTTCCACCATCTCTGCCCAGAAGCTTCCTCTTGCATCAGCTCCTTGGAGGCATAAAGCCTGTTTGCGGGGGAAGAGAGGGGGGAACAGATAGAGGAGGAAGGAAACTGAAGTGAAGGAGCTGGAGGTCGTAGGGGTGGCAGCCACAACCCTCCCCCCAACAGTCCCTGCGGCTTCCTCCACACCCCTCCACCCCGCCCCGCCGCCTGGACTCTGGGGAGCACTTTTCAGTAATCAGTAATCCAGGAAAACCTTCTCCGTTTTAGACACAAAGAAAGTGAGCCTGCAGAGGTCTCCTGAGGGTCCCAGTGACACATCCTGAGGTTCCAACCAGACGAGAGTGGAGAGTTTGGGTTGAAACTGCAGGTGTTGGGACCAGGGACACTGCTGCAGGAGAGCAGGGAGCCGCTTTCTGTCTGCTCCCCACTTCACTTGCTGTAACATTTTTGTTTCCTGGGTGTATTCCCAGCACTGTCATGATCAATTGTTGTTGTTGTTTTTAAATTTTCTTATTTTTTGGCGATGCCACGAGGCACGTGGGATCTTAGTTCCCGGACTGGGGATCGAACCTGTGCCTCTTGCTGTGGAAGCACAAAGTCCTAACCACTGCACCACCAGGAAAGTCCCTCATTGTTTTATATGAAATTAAACTAGGTACTTTTATTTACTGAAACAATCAAACCTGGAATCCAAGAGAAAGTATTCATTTTGAAGGAGTCGATCTCAAATAACTAGAAAACTTCTCCCACTGAACAGTGTTTGGCACTTCAACACTATGCAGACCACAGTGTCAGGAAAGATGATTTGGAGATTGTTGATGCCTGCATAAATGAATTATCTTGGTTACCTGGGTATTTTGACCTCTGTCTTCTGAGTTCTGCTTCACGGATCACAGAGCTGGGGCTGTCCGGCAGAGTGCCTGGGGCTCCCAGACACCCTGGGAGCTCTGGGGTTTGCAGCCCTGGAACACAGTTATTTAGTTCATCAGTCTTTTTCTGCTCTTTTTATAGAAGCTCTGCAAACATATTTCTGGCCTTGAATTATTTGTGGCATGGTTATTGAATTAATAAAACATTTTCCAGGGCTTGGGATTTGTGGGTAGAGATTTTTAAAAAATAATTTATGAGAACTGAAGCAGAACAAAGCATCACATCTTTTGAATGAAATAGCATGAATGCTGGAAAGCCCTTTAAGATCGTTGCCAAAAAAAAGAACCGGTGGTGTTCTTAACTATGGCTGCCAGATATTGTGAGATCCTGAGATTTAGGAAATAAGCACTGTTGCCCTGCCTCCAACTTTTTCGTTTCAAAAATGTCAAACCTGAGACCAGTACAGTGAACTTTTACGTAGGTTCAACAGTGGAAATAGAGTTTTTAAAGGCTTGTTTTGTTTTGCCATGCTTGCAGACACACACACACACACACACACAATCAACAAATACAATGTTAATATCATGAAAGATCTGTTTCTTATTTTAATTGTCTTACATTTTGTCTGGAAATGAACCAAGGCCAAAGGCATCCCTTGCTTCCGAAATCATAATGATTTGCCTTTTATCTACAGTCAAATCTACCTGATGACATCTTTGAAAACGGGAAGGCAGCGGAGGAGAAAATGCCACTGTCCCTCAGCTTCAGCGACCTGCCCAACGGGGACTGCACCCTCGCCCCCGGCCCAGCCGACTCTCTCCCCGGTGCCTGCGCGGCAAATCCAGAAATCACCATCACCTCCGCAGAGCTGCCCCCAGGCAGTCAGTCCTCCCAGAACGAGGGCTTGGAGGACTCCAGCTCGGCCTCTTGCAGCAGCTCCTCGAGAGAAGGCTCAGAGCCCCGGCCCCACCCCGAGGGAGAGACCCAGGGGCCGGGGAAGCCCGAGGGCTGCAGAGCAGCCACGGGTGCCGGGCCAGAGCGCCTGTTCCTGCAGAAGGGAGTCGCAGAGGCCCTTCTGCAAGAGGCCCTTCTGCAAGAGGCCTCTGAACTCAAGCCCGTGGAGCTGGACACTTTTGAAGGAAACATCACGAAGCAGCTGGTCAAGAGGCTCACCTCGGCAGAGGTGCCGGCAGCCACGGAAAGGCTGCTTTCTGAGGGCTCGGTCAGTGCAGAGTCGGAAGGCTGTAGGTCTTTCCTGGATGGAAGCCTAGAGGACGCCTTTAATGGGCTTTTCCTTGCATTAGAACCACACAAAGAGCAGTATAAAGAGTTTCAGGATCTGAACCAAGAAGTCATGCACCTGGATGATATTCTAAAAGTAAGTACCTTTTCAGGGAAATTGGATTAGTTTCGGAGACAGTCTCTTAAACCAACAGTCTATTTAAAATAGGCTATCTTTTTTTTTAATCCTTCCCTATCACAGGATCAGTAGATAATCAATATGTAAATGACATTGATTTTTTAATACTAGTTGTTGTTTAGTTGCTGAGTCATGTCTGACTCTTTGTGACCCAAAGGACTGTAGCCCACCAGGCTCCTCTGTCCATGGGATTCTCCAAGCAAGAATACTAGAGTGGGTTGCCATTTCCTTCTTCAGGGGATCTTCCCGACCCAGGGGTTGAACCCGGGTCTTCTGCATTGCAGGCAGATTCTTTACCGACTGAACTACCAGGGGAGCCCATAAACCACAACCAAATGGCATTTTTTAATACTAATTGTTGTTTAGGTGCTAAGTCATATTTGACAGTTTTTGCAACCCCATGGACTGTAACTCCTCAGGCTCCTCTGTCCGTGGGATTTCCCAGGCAAGAATACTGGAGTGGGTTGCCATTTAATACTAGTAGCATATATTAATTTTTATTTTCCTGACAACGGATCAACTTTAGGAGAATGACCAGGAGTTAAATTAACAGCTCTAGAGAATATCTAGACTCCCTCAGCCCCAGAGTTCATCATTCAGATCCCAAATGTGAAACGAATGGTGGCCTTTTGAGCATCATATCTCACTGAGATGTTACTGGAGAGGGTCCCTCTTGGAGTTTCCAGGAAGCAGGAAGGCCCTTCCCTAGTTGAAGACAGAGTTGGGCAGCCAGGATGTGAGGACCAAGGCATCTCTCCCCGCCCAGGGCACTACCTCCTAGAGGATTCCCTTCTCAGCCATTGGCCCAAATCAGTGAAATAGAATCCCAGAGTAGTCACCCCAAATAATCTAGAAACCAGAGAACCCTGACTCCACTAGAGATATCTTCCTCTCTCCTGTTCCCAGTTAGACCACTCAGGATAGACGTGGGAAGAGAGGATTCAGATAGGTGATTTCCTCTTGGTCAGGAGAGCCTCATAATAAGGTCATTATTGCTACCCCAGAATGTATCTGCCTCCACTTGGTAGATAAAATTTAATACAGATTAAATTTTTAAAAACATGGCACAAGAAGACAGAACTGGAACTTCTGTCCTAAAACCCACTGCCACTTCTTGTCTTCTTTGCTTTGCCACTCTGATGTCTAGTTCCATAAAGAAGAGAACTTGGATCCTTTCTCTTGAAAGAGCAATTCTTTGGGGACCTATTCTATAAGATTAGCTTGAAAATACTGTGCCAGGGGCAAGCAGAGAGTCAGCCCACAGAAAGCTGTTGCATCCCTCGATATGACGGTTTGAAAATGTGGCCTTCCCTGTGGCATCTGGAACTACCTTCCCAAGGCTATTCTGACAGTTGCAGTCATGCTGACCTGGTTCTGGAGGGCATGTCTGCCCAGGGCGGAGGAGAATTCATACTCTGACTCTCCATGTCCTCTATTGCTCATGACAGATTGATTCTGCTGTAGGTATAGCCTCTTAGCAGCAGGGAAGGGCACTCTGAATCTGCTTCCCATGAAACATAACTCCAGAGCATCAGCTCAGGGCTCATGGATGGAGGCTGCTTGTCTAGTATCCCAGTGAAAATGTCTTTGATCCCTTCAACAAGTGCTTATCTGCACAGTTGACCAGCTTTGCTTAGTGGGCAGAAAAGTGTTCAATGTGAAGAGCCAAGACACAATCCACCTAAAATAAATGCCTCAAAGAAAGCTAGTGGTGATGGCAGCCCCCATTTCCAGGCATCTAGGGTGCTCAGTCCACCAGGAAGCACTGAGCAAGTCATCCATTAGTCTTCTAAAAACCTGGTGGCTGTTGGTTTCTTTCAAGATTTTTGTTTCAATCTGCTCTTGTTCCAAAACTGTCCTAAATTTCTTAACTGCCCCCTTTCTTTCTTTTGATCGTATTTAAGCACATCTATACTGTGCACGATCAGATTCTGCAGTCTAGCTTAGGAAAGAAGACCCTAGAAGAGGACTGAGTTGGGAATGGCTCCTCCTGTCTCTCTCAGATGGAAAATGACATTAGAGACAAGGTCTGGGGCAAGTGGCTTTGTCTCCAGCCAGGATTAAAGCATCTGCTGGCAAAGCATTCTCTTTTTTTCCTCCTTCACATTCCTAGGATGCTAAACACCTTGAGGATCAGAAACTAAATGGTGCTGCCTCTTGGACGGAGATCACTGAGGGCGAATGAAACAACTCTGATTTAAAAGACTCAGACTCCTGCCAGGCCCTTCCGACCCTGTGTAACGAAGTCAGCAGGGAGTGCCACCTAACTGGATGGAGGACATTTAGCTCCTTTTACTTGCAGGATTTGTCCCGTCAATCCCTCCCAACATCCTTTTGACTATTTGGAAGAACCGCTCCCCATCTCTGTGCCCAAAGCAACGGGCATGACCCTGTTTGTAATGTTTCTGTTTAATGTCCAGAAATACAGAATTCACCAGGCCATAGAATGGATTTGCTCACATAATTCCAGGGCCCAGTCAGGGAAGAGATGGACGTTGTTCCTTCAAAGACAGTTGTAAAGGAAGCATAGCTACTCCTTGTCGTCCTCGTGCCATTTATTTTCTCCTCGATGCTCAAAGGAAAATTACATGCTGTGAATGTAAAATTAGTATTTAAATCTACTTAGAGAGTGTGCATTAGTGAATCTGAGTAGTTTTCTGTTTCTGGGATTTGTTTTGTGAATCCTTTAGGACAGGTGCCTTAGTTAGCTCGCCCTGTCTCAGGGCACAGACCACATTGCCACTTGGAGTTAAGAGATTGGTTAGTAGTTGGCATTGACCCTTTAGATTTGTCTGCCAGTTGAACTTTATTTGGGGTTGAGCCCTGTGAAGAGAGAGAATAGCCATTCTGTTTCCCAAGACATTCTGATTGTAGTATTTTTAAAACTTTTTATTATAAATATTTCAAACAGGAATAGAAAGAATCAAATAATGGATCCCAGTGTGGCCATCAGCTCACTTCCACAATGCTCAACTCATGGCCAAACCTGTCTTCCTCTACCTGCTTCCTTCCCCCCAGATTGTTTTGGAACAAATCCCAGATACTGTGTCACTTTATCCACGGTTGTACTTTTTTATAAGAAGATTTTTAAATGAATTCTTTTAATGCCAACAAAAAAATAAAAATAAAAGCTTGAATAAAAAAAGAAGGTGTCGCATCTCCCATTGGGTGTCTTTGTTGTGTTTCTCCTTCTGAATATGTTGATATTCTCCTTGGTACCTTCTGCCTTTGCAGTGCAAGCCAGCAGTAAGCCGAAGCAGGTCTTCCAGTTTAAGTCTTACTGTTGAAAGTGCTTTAGAAAGCTTTGATTTCCTGAACACCTCTGATTTTGACGAGGAGGAGGAGGATGGTGATGAGGTTTGTAATGTTGGAGGAGGTGCTGACTCAGTATTTTCAGACACTGAGACTGAGAAAAATAGGTAAGTCTTGAAGTCAGCATCTGCTTCTATTTCTACTGTCATTGCTGGTACAGCAGTTCTTTATTGCTACCGGATAGGACTTAATACACATCTTTAGGAAGATAAAATTCCCTACCTGAATTGGTTTACAGCTCCTTTTCACTGTCCTGTACAATTTTTAAATATAGTTCACCTTTTTTGGTGTTGTTTAAGAAAAATGAAATTTTCCTTTTTATAAATGAAAGGCAAATTTTTGTACAAGTATGTGTACACTTATGTATAAGTATGGATGTGTACATATCCATCTTGTAGGTTTCAGTGTCTACAGCTTGGCCCCAGTGTAATGAATTTCAAATTAACTCCACATACTATGTTTCTGGAGAACTCTTGACCTGGTTCTCCTTGATTTGCATCTTATTCCTAATTTCTTCATTTTGTTAGACTTTGCTTTTCCAACCCCTTATCTCTCTATTCCTTTTGGCTGTTGGGTCTTTGCAGTTCATTAAGGTCATCAGTGCCTGTTTCAAAGCCAGGCTTAAAACCCATGGCACATATTTTTCTCAGAATGTAGGAAGGGGTGACTAATAACTGATATCTGCCAGTGGATCTGCAGGCCTCTGGGTGGAGAATGTGGCCTTCTCTAGGATGGGGATGAATCAGGGCAGTGGGAAGGGAGGATGAAGATGAAATCCTATCACTTTCTTCACTGGGCTTTGTTGTACCAAACCACATGCTTAGAGCTAGAGCCTGGGGTCCATTCTGTAAGCACAGTGAACATAGCTCCATTAATTTGCTGGGGAAAAAAAAAAAATGCGCACTTTCCCAAAGGAAAGGGTGGATTTCCATCCATCTTTTCTTTTGACATGTTATATGCACAGGTTTTCAAATTACAACAAGCTATGACTGTTCAACCTTCACAGACCTCTCTGAGTGGTGTTAATATTTTGAAGTTGTGTTATTCCTGGAGGGTTTCTTCTGCCAAAATGAAACCAGGAAAAGAAAAAAGGAGAAATAGAATTTATCCCTTGAGCAAACTGGGAGTGTAACAAAGAGAATTTATGAAATGAATGTCATGTTTAAGTTATCTTTCTGCATTCTACACTGAGATTTTCTAATTTAATTGCATTTGTGAAATGCTTCTTAAATCAAACTCTTCTTGTATACTTGTTAGCTGAAGCTATTTCATAATAGATCAAGGTTTTTCTTCTTAATATAAGCATTTTAAGAACAAAAATATAGCCTTTGTAAATTCTATAGAACATTCCTATTAAAGATGTCTAATTTGATCAGTCCTACTGTGTGTTATCAGACGTTTAGGGTAAGTGTGTGTGTGTGTGTGTGTGTGTGTGTTTTAAATGTGGGTTGACTACCAGGCCACAATCTGAGTGTTTTCCTCTTGGAAACCCAGTGTGAATCAGAGTAAAGCATTCAATGCCTTTAAACTGTAGTGCATGATCTTTTTAAATTGTGGAGACGGGGGAGCATGAAACTAGAACCCCAAAATCACCTAGCTGTGTGAACTAGGATGCTCTGGTTAACGTCTCTGCTGGTCATTCCTTCCATGGGTGAAATGAGACTCTTCCCTCCCTCTCTCCCTTCTGCAGAGGTTCATTATAAGAATAAAATTAGATAATAAATGCAACACACTTACCTTTAAATGTAAGTGCCCATGATGATACAACTTTAGATATTTCAGCAGTGGAGTTTGCACAGAACTTGCAAGGCAGAAGAAAGTGATGCAAATGCCCCTTTTTGCGAACGTCGTGTTTCTTACTAGTGGCTTTGCTTTCTCTCTTTCAAGTGGCAGTTGATTCAAGGCCAGGAAAAAGCCTTGACTGATCATTTTAATGGTATTGCTCTTGGGAAACCACAAATAAAGAGGGCAGTTTTATCCCAGAAATTTGGCAAATCACCCCATCAACAGAGCAGGAAAGTGCCCCCAAATGAGGTCACATTTCAGAAGACTTCTTGGTGAGACGACTTTACAAATAGTTCATTGTGCTTGAGAAGCAAACAGAAAACTCTGGAAGCAATCTGTTTGTAGGATCTTTTTAACATTAGGCAAATTGGTGACCAGGCTTGGTGATAAAGTAGTATTTGAAGGGTATCTCGATTTTTTGAGGTAGGCAAATGCAAGATCAGTGGGTGCAGTGGGGGCCTGACACAAGCCATGTTGAGTTTTGACCTGTGGTCTCCATGCAGAAAGAAACAGCTAACATTTCGCTCCCCTTCCTGCTTCAACAGTTACAGATCAGTTCACCCAGAAGCCAGGGGGCATCTCAGCGAAGCCCTGACTGAGGACACGGGAGTTGGGACTAGTGTGGCAGGAAGCCCTCTCCCGCTGACCACGGGGAATGAAAGCCTGGACCTTACCATCATCAGGCACCTCCAGTACTGCACGCAGCTTGTCCAGGTAGGACAACCGGGTTTTTAAAGCCCAGGTTGTTGATGCACCAAGAATGTGTGCTTCCTTTTTTTTTTCAGTTTTCCCAGGAAAAGGAGAATTCAGGAATGTGAGAATAATCATCTATGGCCAAACCTCCCTGAACGTGCCCTATCTCATCTGCTTTGATTTGAACTCAAAAACTAAATTGCATGGCCTTCAACCCTGGGTTTTTCATCTTAAAATCTAGATCTCCAGGGACATCCCTGGTGGTCCTGTGGTTAAGACTATACACATCCCCTGCACAAGGCATGAATTCCATCCTGGACATGGAACTAAGATCCCACATGCTGCACAGCATGGCCAAAAAAATAAAATAAATTTTTAGAAATTAAAAAAAAAAGTCTAGATCTTCAGACCTTAACAGGTATTAAGTGACATGTAGTGAACTCTCGCTTTCAAATTATTTGATAATAGGTGAGAGTAATGTGATTTTTTTTCTTTTAATTTTTTGGTCACACTTCACAGCATATCTTCGTTCCCTGACCAGGGATGGAACTCATGCCCCCTGCAGTGGAAGCGAGGAGTATTAACCACTGAACCACCAGGGAAGTCCTGTGATTTTTTTAAAAAAGGAATTTGCATTCTGTCATCTACAAATGGACTTCGAAAGCCAGTGTTACTGAACTTATGTTAACATAAACCCAACACATTAGTTAGTTTTCCATCACCTGGACAGCTAAAGGCAAAATGCTACAGAATATAACCACAGTTTCCCAGATTGCGAATAAGTACTAATTAGCAATGAGAAAGAATATTTTACAGGCATTCTCCTCACCAGTTCATTTTCATTCTGGGACACCCTGGGGCTCATTTTTCTTCTCATTTCAGCCTGCTTTGCCACTTAAGATTTTGCCACAGTTGTTGTTCAGTCGCTCAGTTATGTCCAACTCTTTGCCACTCCATGGAGCATGCCAGGCTTCCCCATACTTCACTTTCTCCCAGAGTTTGTTCAAACTCATGTCTGTTGAATCAGTGATGCCACCTAACCATCTCATCCTCTGTCACCCCCTTCTTTTCTTGCCCTCAATCTTTCCCAGCATCAGGGTCTTTTCCAGTGAGTCAGCTGTTCACATCAGGTGGCCAAAGTGTTAGAGCTTCAGCTTCAGCATCAATTCTTCCAATGAATATTTAGGGTTCATTTCCTTTAGGACTGACTGGTTCGATCTCCTTGCAGTCCAAGGAACTCTGAAGAGTCCTCTCCACCACCACAATTCGAAAGCATCAGTTCTGCTCAGCCTTCTTCATGATCCCTCTCTCACATCCGTACACCACTACTGGAAAAACCATAGCTTTGACTAGATGGACATTTGCCGGCAAAGTGATGTCTCTGCTTTTTAATACACTGTCTAGGTTTGTCATAGCTTTTCTTCCAAGGAACAAGTGTCTTTTAATTTCATGGCTGCAGTCAGCATCTGCAGTGAAACAACTATTTTGACATTCTTTTGTTGCAGGGAGGGTTTAAGCTGTCTTGAACAAAGCACTTTCCCCCAAGCATCTGCATGAATGCTTCCTCCTCTCCCAGTGGTTGATCTTTTCCCAGTCTTCTTGTTCTCTCACCTTGCCTCAACGTGTAGGAATCAGGAACAGAAAGTGAAAGCAATGTATAACGGTTTTGAGGGGCTGGGTCAGGCAGGAAGAGTATAAAAAGAGGAGAAATCATGCTTATAAGAGCATGTGTTCAATCGGAAGCCTGAGGCAGGGTGGGTAGGAAGGACCCAGGGAGGCTGGGAGTGGGTTAACATTGATTTTTAAGTAACACACGCATGACGAGATGTAGAAGAATCTGCCTCTCCATGAATAGAGACCCTCACAGCCGCCTCAGACACTCACGTTCTGTGGGAAGCTGGTAGTCAGTTACGACTCTTGCGCTAGGTTGGCCAGTGCCCCGGTGGATCTCTTTTGTTGAGTGTTTAATTTATAAGCCAGTCTGGCAGACGGTGCAGATTTTTTCTGACCCAAATGAACAAGGATTGTTGTTGACTTACAGCTATTCTTTATTCACCAAGCATTGGAATGAGATGGTGTTCACAGCCCTTTGTCCTTGGTGAACCCAAGACTCTGCTGAGCAAACTCCCTGTTCACCTTTCAGGCTTAAAGTCATTACTTCATGAGACATGGGAGAATTCTCTTCCGTGAAGGAAGCAGATGTGTTCACTCAAAGACTAATGGGCATGCAAGAGTCAGTGCAGTGTTTCTCTCTACAGTAAGGCCAGAGTTATAACAAATTCAACTCTTCTGTGAGGAACAACACTAGAAAAAACAAAAGGGAGTAGTCCCACCTAGTCCGTTTCTATGTGGTACATGGGACACTGCCCAATTCATGAACTGTTTAATAAAGCCAATTAGATCTTTAAATTTAAAAAGAGAAAGAAAAAAAACAAAAGAGATAGACATAAAGGTGTAGAATTAAGGAGATGTAGAATAAAGTAGAAATCAAGGTAGAAACCTGATTTCTAATTCACAAATGGTTGGATGGCATCACTGATTCAAAGGATCTGAGTTTGAACAAGCTCTGGGAGATGATGAAAGCAAGGGAAGCCTGGCATGTTGCAGTCCATGGGGTTGCATAGAGTCGGAAATGGCTGAGCAACTGAACAAAACAACCTGAATCAGTAAGCTTGCTTATTCATTTGGTATATAATTGTAAAGAGATAAAAATGGGTATTCTGTAAGAATTATAATAGCTATAATTATGTTTAAAATAGAGCAGTTCTTTTCTACTCATTTTTTTTAACATGAAAGGCATTTGTATATAATTGCTGCACTTGACTTTTGAATTTGAAAAATTCATTTTGCTTTAGAGCCCAAATGCTGGAGACCACAGGAGGATGATGGTACAGGTCTGCATCCTGCAGCCATGCCTGCCAAGTGAAGGGGACAGAGACACAGAAAGGACTAGAACCTTCAGACAGTGACTGATTTCTGTCCTTTCTCTTCTCAGGTCTTTCTTTATTCTCATGACCTGCACACAAATGAAATCACTTGCCATTAAGGTGCTCTTGGACAGGTTGCTTAACCTCTCTGTACCTCAGTTTCCCTATCAGTTAACTGGAAAATCAAAAGTACCCATTTCTGGATAGCCACAGCTGGGTTGTTGTGCAAAATAACATGAGCTAATTCATATATAAGGCCCAGACCAATGCCTAGTACATAGTAAGCACTCATTAATGAGATAACTTCTGTTGTAATTATGATTATTATACAACATGCTCTTAATTTTCAGCTTGAAAACAATGATATGAATCCAAGCCATGAAAAATAACTACACTTGAAAAACAAACCTTTTTTCTGCTTCTACACCAGTGGCAACCTAAATATGCTCTTCAAGTTTCAAAGAGGTCTTATGCATTGACAGTACATACAGAAAGGCAACTTTATAATAACCTTGCAGCCCTACTACTGAGAAAACTCTAGAATTTGCCCAGGCATGAAAAAGTTGAAAGCAACAAAAACATGTCTTATTTCATCAGATGTTGTAACCGGCCTGGAATAAGGACCACTATACTGGAACAGAAATGTGTATGAGTTTAACATCCCCTCTTTATTCAGAAGGATGAGGCTGAGCCCTATTGACAGCAATGATTGACCCAGTGGTTCTGTTTGTTTTATCAGCAAATTGTTCTTTCAAGCAAAACCCCATTTGTGGCCAGCAATCTCTTAGAGAAGCTTTCCAGGCAAATCCAGGTGATGGAGAAGCTCTCGGCCGTCAGCGATGAGAACATTGGAAACATCAGTTCTGTCATTGAAGGTGAGCCCCTGCAGTAACACCACCAGGTTCTTACCAACAATAACACCACGAGCCTTCCGCCCACCCCATCCCACCCCAATCCCCACCTGCATCTATTCATGGCTTTATTAGGATGGCAGAGAGGCCTCTTGGGCTGTAGAATAGAGGAAGGTTGCCACACGAGTGTGGTCATAATTAACATCATGCTTCGGCCTTTGGAGTCAAAGCAGCAGACACCTAACTTTTTCTAGAGGGGCCTCCACCTCCAGGAGGCAGACTCTAGTATATACACAGAACCCCCTCCTCCTCTGGTGGTGTGGTTCCCCCCGGGGATAGGTGATCAGGATTGCCCCTGTGCAGTGGAGCTGGCCAAGACAAACCCCATAGCAGTTGACAGTCAAGGCAAGATGCTCCCAAACCTACTGTGAAAGGCAGAAATACGAGGAGTCAAAGACCTTCAAGAGAATCCCTGGTTCAGAGTTTTAAATAGAAAACTTGACACAGGAGAGATGCCTTTGAACTTGTGTGGTCTGGCTACAGGACTAGTTCCTAGAGACAAGAATTTGTGTCTTTTTTTCGCTGTCAGATAGTGGAAATAGTGGGAAACTAGGATCTTCTGGATTATCTCCAGTTAAGCTTGAGATTCCCTGTAGGTTCTTTCTGCCTCCTGCTTCCGGTCCTCCCAGGAGCAGGTGACCTTGACAGGTCTCTGAGAGATGCGGAAAAGCGGCAGGACATTCAGGCTCCTGTCCGCTCCTCCCCCGGCCCCTCGGCTTGATCAGAGCCTCTGGGGTGAAATGCTGACGGTGGCGCCTGGCTCTTCAATCGTTTCAGTCCGAAAGCCACCTGGGAAGGGTGGAAAACGCCTTCAGTCACCCTCTGCTCTGCTCCCCCGCTGCAGAAAATCTCCTGGGCTTTGATTCTCTGATTCCGTACAGTTTTATTTGCTAAGTTACAGGAGATGAGGGGATTAGACTTTCTCCCGAGGGTAGACCTGCTGTTTTCTATCACAGAAAGCAAACAGTTTGGTTTTGCCTCGTTTCCTTTAGTGCCCAGGCTGGATGAGCTCCTCGTCTCCTCTTCTTTGCCCTCAGGACCACCTGCCAAGAACAGGGGAATCCTGTAGTTCTGATTAAAAACTAGTCTTAAAAAAAAAAGAAGAGAAAGAAAGGCCCCTGGTGATGTCTGCCCCACCCCCCCCAGGTCCGCCTCTCCATCTGTTTCACTGAGTCGTGGGGTGGGGGGTTGCTCTTCTGTTCCAGCCATACCGGAGTTTCACAAAAAGCTGTCTTTGCTGTCCTTCTGGACCAAGTGCTGCACGCCAGTTGGGGTCTACCACAGCTCCGCGGACAGAGTGATTAAGCAGCTAGAAGCCAGCTTTGCCAGAACCGTCAACAGAGACTACCCCGGGCTTGCAGACCCAGGTACAGGGCAGCAGGAGCGAAAGAAATATTTCCGTCTTTTGGGTTGAAAGTAGTAAGGGCTGGTGCAGTTCCCTCAACACTCCCCGCCACGGCCAGCCCAGAAAAGAGGCTTCCCCTCCAGAGAAAACATCATCGACTCAGAAAAATCAAAGAAAGGAAAGACAGGGAACATGCTTTCATTCCAAATATCAGCAGTGACTTTGAAAAGGACCGTAAGTCTGCACTGCTATTGAAGTATGTATCCTTTCCTCATTAAAAAGTCACCAATAGAGGAGCGTCAAATGGTATTACCACTTGGGAAAAACTGCTTGACAGTTTCTATAGAAACTGAATATGTATACTCCTACCCTGCCATCCAGCAGTTCCACTCCTAAATATGTCAAGAGAAATACGAGCTTATCCTCATTTTTTAAGAGGACATGTATAAGCTTTATTCATAGGAACCAAAAATGGAAACAATTCAAATGCCCATCAACAGGAGAAGGGATAAATGGTAATATTACACAGCAGTTTTCAAAAAGACTAAATGTACTGCTGCAAGCAATAATTTGGATGAATCTCACATAATTTTTGAACAAAAGGAGCTAGATTCAAAAAGTACACACTATATAGTTTTATTTATATGAAGTTCAAGAACAGATAAAGCCAATGTATTGATAGAAGTTTGACTGTTATTGATATTGATAGAAGTTTGATTCCCTGTGGTTGGAATAGACTGGGAGGGAGCACAGGAGAGCCCAGTGGCATCCCAGCGATTTCTGTATCTTGATCCAAATGACAGCTACACAGGTATATAGATATGCTGTCCACTGAACTCACCTTACAGACTTCACTCCATCGTGTACCTCAATAGAAAGATAGATGAATGAGGGATGAATGAATGATTGATTGTGTTTCTTATAAACTGCTTCGTATCTTCCCCTTCCAAACAGTGTTTCACACCCTGGTGTCCCAAATCCTGGACCGAGCTGAGCCCCTGCTTCCCGCCAGCCTGTCCTCCGAAGTCATCACTGTTTTCCAGTATTACAGTTACTTTACGAGCCACGGTGTGAGTGACCTGGAGAGTTACCTAAACCAGCTGGCCAGGCAAGGTAGGACATGTTCTTTGCTCACACTGTGGGGGGCTCAATCTGGGATGATCTTCAGTCTCTTCAATCATAGTTTTTAGTGATGATAGCTTTTTCTTCCCCCAAGTCAGCAGGTGGGCTAAGATTTGTCTTTTAGATGGTTCCTGGACTTTTAACATGAGTGAGCCCTTTGACAACGAAACAAGGGTTTGCTGAGCACATCCTTTTCACTCAACAGTGGTGTACCATTAATAGGGAGCTGGTAAATGATTTAAGGCCCTGCTGAAGTTTTTGTCTATCGTGAATGTGTTTGCCATTTGTAGGATCGAGCCTGCAGGCAGTGCTATTTTATAATGCCTTTTTGGTGGCACTATCATAATACTAAGCAGAAGTGAGGTTCCAAAGAAGCTGATGGGGTGACATGTTGGGAACGGAAAGAAGGGAGAGGCGAAAAAAGAAATCTAAGGCTTCATCTTCAGGGATTGAAGAAAAAAGACACCAGCGCAGGGGAGTGGCAGAGAAGCTTGTCACTGCCTTCTCGTGTGGCACTCCAGTTATGAGAAACAGACCCGGTATCTGCCTCGAGTGAAAACCTCTGCAGGAGTGGAGCCAGACTGTGAGGGGCTGGTTTCTGGTTCCCAAGTTTGTGCTGTTTCTCCACCCACACTTGACAATGGGCAGCAGGAGGGTGAGGCAAGAGGAGCCAGTTGTGTTCTTGGAAGTAGATACGTTGGCACATTGCTTGCTAGTGGCGGAAATGCTCTGACCCTGAGCCGGGTTTGGGCTTGGTCCTGCTTTTTAAACCCCGAGACACCATGTTCAGCGCGGTAATTGGCATCACAGGAAGAAGAAGAAAATCTTCCTCTACCATCACTAATCGGAAACATCGCCTTTCTCATGTGCTAACTTTTCGTATGTCCGTGGGTCTTTTATTAAGTACATCCTTGATTCTTCCTTGCATCTGTAATGAGCATGCTACTTGACCATCAGAAAGTGACTTCTGTTTCCTCCTCTCTCTCCAGTTTCCGTGGTTCAGACTCTGCAGTCACTGAGAGACGAGAAACTGCTCCAGGCCATGAGTGACCTTGCCCCCGGCAGCCTCCCGGCCCCCCAGGAGGAAGTATTCAGGACGCTGGCTCTGCTCCTATCCGGGGAGGACCGCGGAGCTAGTGAGGCGGTGACGCTTTACCTGACAGCTGCCTCCAGAAGCGAGCATTTCAGGGAAAAGGTAGGGCGTGAAATGATGGGCGGCAAGGCAGAAGCTTGTCTAATTTTATGCCATTTACTGTTAATATTCTGTCATCTCTTCCTTTGTAAAAATAATTTTCTTTCTCCTGTTTTTTAAAATTAAAAAAAAAAAATTGGGTGGCACATGGGCCTTCTCTAGTTGCAGTGCAGTAGACTTCTTTAGTTGTGGAGTACTGGCTCTGAGAGCGCCCAGGCTCAACAGTTCCGGCTCAGGGGCTTCTCCAGTTGCCCTGCTGCATGTGGGATCTTAGTTCCCCAAGCAGGGATTGAACCCACGTCCCCTGCATTGGAAGGCAGATTCTTAACCACTGGACCACCAGGGAAGCCCCTTTTTCTGTTATTACTGATATACACTCTGTAAAATGATTTAAACTATAAAAATATACTGAAATAGTTAAGGTCCTATAAGTCTAGCCCCCAGAGAAAACTATTAATAACTTAGTGTATATTCCTTCAGATCTTTTCTATGTATATGCTAACATATATAATTATTTTTTCTTAAATGAGATCACACTATCTTATTGTGCAAATGATTTTTTAAATGTAATATATCATGGTTATTTTCTTTCCATGTCAGAACGTATTGGTCTACTTTATTCTATTTGATACATTAGTGGCATCTCAGTATATAAATAACCTATTATTTTTGTATTGCATATTGATGAGCATTTGTGTAGTTTCCAACTCTGAAAAATATTATGATGAACATACATATGCATGTTTACGCACACATATGTTTTACGAATAGTTTGCAGTTAAGTCATCAAACTATTGGGTCAAAGTGCTGGAATACTTTTTACTTTAAAAGCCATCTCTCCTGTTGCTAGGGAGGAGACAGTTTACCTCTCAGCTTCAAATCAACAGTCATCCAAGTGTTATAAGCATATGCAATTCAAGTACTTTGGGGCCTAGTACAAGCAGGCCCTTTACAACCTGAGAGCCCTTTACAACCTAAAGAGTCATTCTAAAACCCACCTCCCGTCGACTTTCAGATCAGTTAAAGAAAATAAAAGTTGGCCCTTCTTGTCCTTGTGGGGGTCCACTGTTGGATTCAGAGAAGGGTTTGCTGAACCTTTCTAAGACATTATCTAATTATCTGAGTTAGTGTGTGGTGGGATGTACTCCTGGGAAGACATTCCATTCTAATACATTTTGGCCCGAGAACATGAACTTCATATTTTTCTTTCCTACAAAGCTCCAGTCTTTTAGGAGAGTTTGCTCAAAATGCTCTTCTTTGGGCCAAATACCCTCACCCACACTGAAAGAGCAAGACATAAGAGACCATGAATTATGCAATGCCAGTCATAGAATAGAAGACATGAATGAACTGGATAAAAAGATCAAGCTCTTTTAATCAACATGAATTTTAATGGATTTTTTTCCCCCACTCTGAGGGTAGTGCAAAATATCTCATTTTACCTGTAGCTTATCTCAGGGAGTAAAAATGATACATACATCTGAAAAAAAAAAAGTGAAAGTTAGTCACGCAGTCATGTCTGACTCTTTGTGATCCCATGGACTGTAGCCAGCCTGGCTCCTTTGTCCATGGTATTCTCCAGGCAAGAATACTGGAGTTGGTTTGCCATTCCTTTCACCGGGAGATCTTCCCGACCCAGGGGTTGAACCTGGGTCTCCTGCATTGCAAGCAAATTCTCTACCAGCTGAGCCACTAGGGAACCCTGGAAGTACAAACAAATCAGAATGTCCTCATGGCGTCCTTCCTTCTCTTTCAGGCCCTGCTCTATTACTGTGAAGCCCTAACAAAGTCTGACCTCCGGCTCCAGAAGGCAGCTTGCCTGGCCCTGAAAAGCCTGAAGGTAAGGCCCAGCCTTGGAGCCCCCGGCAGGTCAGCTTCGAGCTGACTTTGGCTTTGAGACTAAGCCAGGTGCATAGACAGCTTTCTTTCCATATTTGGAAGTACCTGCTTTAGCAGCCTTTCTCCTCTCGTTTACCCTGTGCATTAATTGGGAGTCCTTTTTGTCTTCAAATAGTACCTAAATATGACTTGGTTTTGTTCAAGTCAATACTTTTTGGAAAACAATTCCCTTTTTCAGTAGCTCAGAGGAATCAATTTGCTTCAGGGCCGCTATTAGAAAAATGTCTCTCATGCCAAAAAAGAGATGACATGCTGATTTCACCAATTTTTATTGTGTACAGAAGTACGGCAGAGATAAATAAAATTGGTGAAGAAGTACTAAAATCCAATGTGCCAATAACTTCCAAATCCTTCCCTGGAAACTCTTTTACTAAGCAGCTCGTCCATCTTCATTGTGTCAGAGGGCTGAGAATTGCCAATGTTTTAAGGAGCTTGCCTTTTAATGTAGTAGTCAAGATTTAATGTCTGACTGACCTTAATCACAAAATATAAGATTAATCATCCTTGAGAAAAGAATGAAAAGGCCACACCTTGAGATCTGCTAAAATCTTGGATGCGTGCGAGGACCTGCAGGCCTATTGGGACGTGAAGAAAGGGATTAACACCTCAAAAGAAAAAGTTAATGACCTGTGAAGAAAAACAGTTCTGGGAAAATTTGACTTCCTTGTTACTTGGTCAAAAAATTACCTTGAGGCGGCCAAAAAAGGCCCACAGTGGTTGCTGTGCATTTGGGTGCTGTCCTGATATTGACAGGTCAGCGATGATGGCTGTGACACAGTTAATGTAAAGTAAGACATAAGGATACGTGATCGGCACCAGTTTTTGTGGATTTACATGCTGTGAAGGTTTAAAAGCTACAGTTTTAAACTCCAGCATGTCCACAGTCTTGGAGCAGCAATTCCTCCCCATTACTCTGTCCTCCTAGGGTAGGATCCTTTGTGCTGAAGCAAAGACCTCTTTCTAAGCCATCCACAGCCCCCCAGCTCTTGAAAGGGGCTCCAAGTAGCATGATGTAAAAAAAAATAGCGCAGACTCAACCAGTCAACTCTCATTAACGTGTCAAGAGAAAAAAAAAATTTTTTTTAATGAATAACAGCAAACAGACATCCGACATGTTTCTTTCCTAGTACCATACCGGAAACAAGCTTAAGAGGTCAGGGTTCTCAAATGCAATTGTAGTTCCCCCCTCTGTCTCACTGGGCTACCCGAACCCATAGAAACACCCATGCTTGCTTCCGTCTGTTGTCTTCCGGCGCCCAGCACCAACACTACCTCTCCATAAGCCTCACTTTCCTTCAAGAAAGAAAACCATAATGTGTTATTCATTATCAACTCTTCAGAATCACTGGAAGAGCATTTTATTCACAGCAGGCCCTCTTTTATCTACCGGCCTTCAACATGCGCTCATGGACACACTCTGCTGGGCTTTCTTCTCCTGTGTGTCCTCCCTTCCATGGTCATGCCTATGCTACTAACTCTCCATGTTTCCAGCCCATGTCATCCCTTCCACCTCTGATCCAGCTTGCTCTCAGGTATCTCCCCTAGGAAGTCACCTCAGACTCCACCCGTCTCACCCCTTCTCCTTGTCTCCGGTGTATGAGTGGATTGTCCAACTACTTCGCAGGAGCTCAGGCAGAAACCTAGGAGCCACAGTGACCTGCCCTTGCCCTCAGGCTCCACCTCCAGCCAGCCTCCTCATCCTGCACATCCCACTTCCTTGGTAGCCAGAATTTCTCTCCTATTCATCCCCATTCTAGTCACCTGGATTCCAGCCACATTCCCACCAGTCTCTCTGCCTCCCTGCAGTCCGTCCTCTCCTCTGTGGTTAGAGAGCTCAGAATTAAAAAACAAGTCCTGTTTAAACCTCTTAAATGACTTTCCATGATCTTAGAATGATATCCAAAACCGTTAATAAGGCTTATAAGCCTCCCCTTGATTTGGGCCCTGTATTTCCTTCTCCACACCCCCAAACACTACGTACACATACACACACACACACACACACACACATACACATCTTTACCACATGCCCAAACTTGACCAACTCCTCTAAGATACATTTCTTCCAAGAAGACTTCCCTGATCAGACCACTCTGCATCTCCCAGTCATGTTTGGCCCCAGCAGCCTGACTCAGCCTGTCATTCATTATAATAATTAGTTTACTTATTTCACTGTCTGTCTTTCCACCGGACTGTAAACTCTTAAGGGTCAGGACTATATCATGTTCATGGCTGAGTCTCCCAGGCCCTGTGAACTGCCTAGTTCAGAGTACTCAGAAACAAATAGACGAATTCCCATCCTTGACCTTTATTCGTCTCCTCTATTTTAATACATAAACTAAAATTAGGAATTCTTAAATTAGAGCTGTTTTGGAAGGAGTGAGATACAGTAGAAAGAAATAGAAGTGGATTCTATTCTGGAAAGTCAAGCTGGTCACTTCCCTTCTCTCGGCCTGGAGTCCCCTGTGAAATGAGGAACTTCCCTGGTCATCAGAGTTCCCACAAGTGCACATCCTGGGCTCCATCCAGGAGGTTCTAATCTGATGTGTCTGAGTAGCATCAGGAATCTGTACTTTCATAAGAGCTCCCAGAGTGATCCTGATACTCAGCTGTGTTTGGGAAGACCTGGGTGGTCTTTAAAGTCCCCACCAGCTGTGAAAATGCTAAGTCTCCTGTAGTCCCACACCTAAATGTCAGAACACTGTTTTAACTCTTTTCTCCTTGTAGGCTACTGAAAGCATTAAAATGCTGGTGACATTGTGTCAGTCTGATACTGAAGAAATCAGAAATGTGGCCTCAGAAACTCTCTTATCTCTTGGTGAGTTTTTGTTTTGTTTTGTTTTTTGGTAACATGATTGTTTATTTCTGACACTCGCAAAGGTAACGGTAAGAAGTTTCATGTGCCTTGTTTGAGCAAGTTTTCTCCTATAGGCTATCTGCTCAACCAGTTACACACACACACACACACACACACACAGCATGAGGAACTGATCAATTAATACCAACTGGTATTAATTTATTATTTTGAGTGATAAATAAAAACGTTAAGTTCAAACTGGTATTTATTTTTGGTATTCTGTATCCAGGAGAAGATGGGCGGCTGGCATATGAACAGTTGGACAAATTTCCTCGAGACTGTGTAAAAGTTGGAGGTCGTCTTGCAAGTGAAGTTGCCACGGCCTTTTAATTACAAGCTGACTCTGCCTAACAGCTGTCTTAATAAATGGCCCTGTTAATCAAGATGGTGCTGTGACTTAGCTGGAAGCTGTTGAGGTTGTCTGGAAATTTAAAATGTTATGGAAGGAATCCAAAGTCCAGTTTCACAGTGCTTATCTACTTTTCCTTTGGCCAATAGAATAGGGCTATGTATATTTCAGTAGATTACATCATTGATTGCAGCTGACAAAACTTAGTAGAAGAGTCTTATCTAGTATGTGTGGAATTTTAAAACAGCCATCTTTGTACTTTTTTGGAAGTCTTCTATAAGCTTGAAATAGTCACATGATACTTTGATAAATATATGCCTTGCAGTTTTTCCTCTGTTGTGTTCTCAGGGTTGAGTGGCCCCTTTAGGTACCTAATTTTACCTTAAATGTGAAGCAAAAAAAAAAATAAAAGGATTTCTTCAAATACAAGTTTGCCTGTAGAACCTGGTAAAAGAACACATTATAAGATTTTTTATTTTCATTTTTTCAAGCCTCCACAATTTCTTTTTGTTTCTCTATCGTGAGAAATCCAAAGGCATGTTTCCAGTATGTAAAAAAAAAGATGGATTTAAAAAAAAAAAAAGATGGATAGATCACTAAAAATTACCTTATTAAGATTATACCATACTCATTTTTAAGAAGATACTCAAAACTTTTTTTTTTTTAAATAAGAGCCATTTTTTAAATGATACTTTTTATAATAGAAGTATTTTGCTGCTAAGGCAGATCAAAACCAGAAGTTTTCAGAAAGCTGTGATTTTAATTCAGAAAGTTATGATGCTCCTTGAAGAAGAACATAGAAGTTGGAGGAATCCTAATGGGGTGAAAGGGGTTTCCCTGGAGGCTCATGGTCAAGAATGTGCCTATCAAGGCAGGAGATGCAAGTTTGATCCCTGGGTTGGGAAGATCCCCTGGAGAAGGAAATGGCAACCCATTCTACTATTCTTGCCTGGGAAACCCCATGGTCAGAGGAGCCTGGCAGGCTACAGTCCATGAGGTCGAAAAGAGTCAGACACGGCTTGGTGAGTAAACGACAACAGTGGGGTGAAAACAGAATCAATAAGAGTGGTCTTTGCTTTTATAGAAACTACTGTAAGGTAAGGAAGAAGAATGCCCTAAATGATGGTTACTGCCCTAGAGATATCATTCATCACTGGATAAGAACCTTTGGCCAAATAGTTAAAACAGTTTCTGTCATTGCTTTCATATCAGGGTAATAAGTCCTTTAAATAAAGTACAAGTCCATTCAGTAGCTCTTATTGAATAATTTTTCTTCCTCTTAAGAGTATATAAGGTGGGATATGCCAAGATATCAAAATAACATGTGTGAGTGTAATTTAAACTGTGGAATATCTACTATTCTCTGAATGTGCTTGTATAATCATTTAGATGTTATTTGAAATATTTACATTTTAGCAAGACCTTTAAAAACAATTCTTATTTCTTTTAAAGTATAAATTGTTTATCAGGCTTCCTGGTAGATAAGTTCTTTCAACTGTGAAGTTACAATGTATATATAAATTTGTAAATTTATAAATATTATATATATGCATATCTTTCCTTTTAAAGGTACATTGTACAGCCTACAGTTAGTATGTATAGTCTGTAGTCCCTGTCAAATGGTTGAAGTGATTTTTTTTAATAGAAAGTCAAATCACAAATGTCACAGAACTGTTCAGTTGTTTGGGTTTTTTATTTTTTTGAGTATTGCATGAATAATTGATTCTATACCTTTTGTATTCACTTCTGCATTTTATTTTTGGTTGAAAGGGGTGCTTTTAGTTTTGTGGCATTTGTATTCGTCACTCTTTCAATCATGTAAGTTAAAATAAAAATTATTTTTGAATTACTAGTTTCGTGTTCAGGGTCTGCTATATTTTTTCACATGTTCTTGTTGAGTTGGTATTTACACAACACACTACACTTCATTCTCAACTTGAATTTATTCTTATCTTGAAATTCCTTTATCCAAACATGAGAGTGATATTTACTTCTCAGATTTATTGTAATGCTAATTGGAGGAAAAACAGAGCTACATTTTATCTGATTCCTTCATCTGGAACACATCCTGTGCCGCCCCATTTTGTCTAAGTTGCTATTGGTATATTTTAAATTTACTTATTTATTTTTTGGCTGTGCTGGTCTCTTGCTGTGAGACATAAAAATTCCTGCTCTCACAGGGCTCATATCCTGGAAAGAGAAGACAATAAGACAGAGAAAAAGAGGGAATGCCCTGGCGGCCCAGTGGTTAGGACTCTGCGCTTCCACTGCCAGGAGCCCAGGAGCTAAGATCCCACAAGCCATGCAATGTGGCCAAAAAAAAAAAAAGACCAAAAAAAGGAATGTAATTGCCCAAGGCCAAGGCTGGGGATGGGAAATGGGACAGGGCAAAGATCACAAGTTTCAAAGAGAGTGGTCAGGGAAGGCCTAAGAGAAAATGACTTTCGAGGATGATCTGAGGAACTGACAGATGTGGATATGTGGATACCCCTGGGAAGGACATTCCAGGCAGATACAACAGTAAATGCAAAAGCCTTAAAAAGGGACCATGCTTGATGTTTTAGATGTTCTAGTAGCCACATGAAGTAACAAGAACAGGGGAAGCTAATTCTAATAATATGTTTTATTTAACCTAATATATCCAAAATCTTTCAACTTGTAATCAATATAAAAATTATTAATAAAATATTTTACATTCTTTTTCTCATACTTTGGAGTAGAGTATATATTTCACAATTACAGCACATCACAATTCATATCGGTCACATTTCAGGTGCTCTGTGGCCATATGTGGCTAGTGGCTACCATACTGCATAATGCAGGCTCTATGTTTCCTGAGTTGTCCCAGTTGTAGCCTTTATAGACTATACACACATACACATATGCTCATGCACATGCATACACACACATGGATACAGGATTCAACCATGGGTTACATGTTTAATTGTCATGCCTCTTCAGATTCTTTTTTTGTTTTTTTTAATTGATTTACACTGTTATGTAGCTTCTGAATCAGAGCAAAATGACTCATATAGATATAAAAATATTTTTTTAAAAATTCTTTCCCATTATGGTTTATTACAAGATATTATAGTTCCCAATACTATCTAGCAGGACTTTGTGGTTTATCTATTTCATTTATTTATAATAGTGTTTATCTGCTAATCCCAAATTCCTAACTTGTCCCTCTCCCAACTCTCCCTTTGATAACCATAAATTAGTTTGTTTTCTATGTCTATGAGCCTGCTTCTGTTTTGTAAATAAGTTCATTTGTGTCATATTTTAGATTCCACATATAAGTGCTATCATATGATACTGGTCTTTCTAAGACTTTACTTAGTATGATAATCTCTTTGTCCATCCATGTTGTTGCAAATGGCATTATTTCACTCTTTTTATAGCTGAGTAGTATTCCATTATATATATGTACCTCATCTTCCTTATCCATTCATTTGTAGATGAATATTGAGGTTGATTTCATGTCTTGGTTATTGCAAATAGTGCTGATATGAATATTGGGGTGTATATATCTTTTCAAATTAGAGTTTTCTCCAGATATATGGCCAGGAGGGAGATTGCTGGATCCTATGGCAACTCTCCTCTTTAGGTTCTTTTCATCTAGAACAGTTGTGCCCCCACCCTTTAAACTTCCACACCTTACTATATTTGAAGAATACAGACAAGTACATTTTGTAGAATGTCCCAAATTTGGACAGGCATCCAAATTTCTACCTTGAAATTACAGCCAGTAGGATTTGTTGATAAATTGGAACTGAGATATGAAACAGGCAAAAGCCAAGGGTGGATCCAAAAATTTCAGTCTGAAAAACTGGAAAGATGGAATGCCATCTTCCAAGACAGGGAAACTGAGGAGCAGCAGGTTTGGAGAGAAAGACCAAGAATCCTGCTTTGAGGGTATGTTAAGTCGGGGAAGCCTCTTAGGCATGGAAATAGAGATACCATATTGGTGATTGAAAGTACTTGTGTTTAGAGAAATCCAGTTAAAAATAAAAAATTGGGAGTCTTCAGCATGTGAATGGTATGTAAAGCCACGAGACTGGTTTATTTCATCTCGGAAGTATAGATAAAAAACAAAAGGAGGTACAAGGACTGAGCCTCAGGCCACTCCAATATTCAGAGGTCATAAAGAAGAGGGGGAGACAGCAAAGGAAAAGGAAGATGGCCAGTGGGGAAAAGTTAAAGGAATATGATATCTTAAAAACCAAGTGAGAAAAGTGTTCCAAGGAGCAATGAGTGACAAATGCTGAGGACTGAGAATTGAATTCAGCAGAGTGAAGGTCCCCAGTGACCCTGATGAGCAATTTCAGTGGAGCCATAGGGTTGAAATCCAATTTGGAGTACATTTAAGAGAAGTTCAAAGAATGTTTCAAATGGCAAGTATGGCAGCTCTTTGAAGAGTTTTTGTATAAAGAGGAGCAGAAAAATGAATAACCAGGGGAAGGGGCTCTATGAGGTCAAGACAGTTGTTTTATTTTTTTTTTTTTTAATGAGAAAAGATACAGCATGCTTCTTGATGATGCAAAGGTCCCCGGTGAGATGGAAAAATTAGAGGCAAAAGAAGGATTGTGAGCAATCTCCTTGAATGGAGTGAGGATTGGTTGAAATCTGCATAAATGGAGGGAGCATAACAGGAGGAAAGCCAGAGGATATGGACACACACAGATCAGAGGGCGGATATAATGGGGAGAACTGATGTAGGTTCCCTTTTTGGTTTTTTGGCTGCCCTGGGTATTTGTCGCTGCGCGGTCTTTCTCTAGGTGTGGTGCGCAGACTTCCCGTTGTTGGGACTCCCGGTCACGGGCTCAGTAGCTGTAGCGTGTGGGCTTAGTTGCCGCAGGGCATGTGGAATCTTCCCGGACCAGGGATGGAAACTGTGTCCCCTGCATTGGTAGGCAGAGTGTTCACTACTTAACGACCAAGGAAGTCCTGGAAGTTCTTTTTTGACTGCTTCTATTTTCTC